ACTGGAGGGCAAAACATTTCGTGGGTGGACTGTTACTGACTTCTGACGACAAAGATGATGATGACGACCTGTGCGTTGATGTCCAGGAGGAAATAGAGGGTGCAAGACACTCGTGACTGGTTCCACTCTCATCCCCCTGGACATCCACTCCCCTTCTGGGAAGCAGGGAGCCTACACCACGATCTCCCTCCCCACGCCGATTACGAGATACCGGTTCGGTTCGATTCGATCGTGCGTTGCTGTGGCGATGATGATGTGTGACGATGAATTTTGGGCTATGGGTGTGCTTGTGGTAGATGAGTTTTGTGTGTACGGTGTGTTTCGTTCTGCTGCTTCAAAATCGACCACAAATGGGGATTCACCATGAACGGGTTGGGGTACCCTAACAAAAAGTGTATGGTTATTTTGCTTAACGACGACCATGCAAACCATTTGTGGAATAGTTCTATCATATGGGTTATCGTTCAGGTAAGGTATTTTTTTAATAAGGGTAAGACGTCCCGGACGGATCCTCCAGCCTGCTGCGCTCTCTCCTATGAGTGTGAAGGGGGTACTACATTTTCCCTTCCTTCGAGTCTATTGTTCTCGTTGTCCGGTTCACTTGTCAGGATGGCGTTGTTGGTCGGTGGCTGCTTTGAGGGATCGTTTTTAACGATGATGCTGTCTATAGGACGTTTCATCGATCTCAAACTATTCATCGATCTCTATGGCTTCCTGACCAGACGTGTCTTCTGCTTCGGCGGGTTTCTTCAGCGATGGACTTTATCGTCCGCGCGATGTATTTTTGCTCCTGATGTGTATTTTCTTATTCTTGATCTTGTTGTTGTCTCGTGATTCCGTCACTGGCGATCTGGTTCTAACCTGCATCGATGTTCCGGCTACCTGAGAGTCTACGGGTTTCTGGCCGGCTGACTGGCTCCTTTGAGGCGAGGATGGGTGAATCGGTACGCTGAACTTGGCTTGCTGGGACTGCTGAACTTGTCGGGTTTGCATCATCTTAACTTGGGCCACCAGCTTGTTAATCTTCTCATCTTTCTTTTTCATCGCGTCCAGGAGTTGAGCGATTTGAGAATCCTTCTCATCCTTACGGTCTACAGTCGTCTGGGCGGCGGCTGCGGCGTAATTTTCCAATCCTGCTTCGACACGCTTGCGGGCTTCGGGGTACGAGAAATTTTCGGATAATATGGACGAGTAGCAACGCGAAGAACACCAATTTTGACTTGCGACGGATAATTGCACCTGTTAAATGTCAGAATTAGGGCAGACGTATTCACCGGTTAACCGTGCTCCTGGCGAGTAATCCGCTGAACCCGGATGACCCCCTGGTTGATAAGACCACGCAGGACATCCTTCTACTCCATACGGATCGCCTCAAAACATGAGATGACGCAACGACTCACGTTCAGATTCGGGTAGCTAAGAGATGACAACTTCAATAGCTTTCCGACCTGGCAGCATTCTCCACAGATTTTCTTACAATGAAGGGATCCGATATCCTTGCTCACCAATTGCAGGTACGTCAGCGCTCCAAAATCGTTTGACGACATGTCTCCTAATCTTGGCCATTGTTCTCCAGACCCTCCCGGGTCGCCGCTACTAGCGGCCGTCATGTTCCACCAACCCTACTGTACCACTTTCTCGCTTTTGTGTACCGCGAACGTTGAAAATATACCAAAAAGTAAGGGTAAAATAAGGGAAAAGCAAAAGATTTTCCTACCTTACGCTTCTTCAATGTCGTGTTCACAACCTCCTATGATCAGGGAAGTGACTATGGTCATCACCCACTTGATGAGAAACTTTTCGCCGAAAACCGAAAGAATCTGGGCCTTATTACGGGTGTGTGTTTGTTCGCACTTTTCTACCTCTTCCTACTCATCGGAGCTTATTACGGATGTCACTTCACGGTGAAAACTTGTCACTTGTCGTCACGGTGAAGTGATTCCCATTTCATTTGTACGGCAATCACGGCTCTTATTTTGAGTATCACTTCCTGATCACCGTGTGACACCCGTAATAAGGCCCATATTCTTTAAGGAACTGGTATCATCTTAGATTTAGTTCCTCTTATAGAATTTCGGAGAGTGCATTTTCGTTTTTTTTTCAACGCATCGTTCCAGTATATGTTTGATTATATCAAGGTTTGAGAAGTCTTAATATCCTCTTAAAGATGCTCTTTACAATTGTAATTCAGCATCAGCAATCGGCTTTCAATAGGTTGTAGTTTCGAACAAATAGAATTGGGTTGTTTCAAAATTCAAATATCTAATTTCTTCCATTTTCAGCTAGAATAACGTACAGAATGGATGTCAAATTAGGCAAATACAATTGATTTTTTTTTTCTCCACAACCTTTTCCATCGATGCTAAGGGCTGTTAAGATCATTAAAGAACTTAACACAATATTGTACGATGGGTACAAAAAGTGCCAAAATATGTTTTGTCACACTGTCTTATACGTTTTGGAGGAGCAAAATCTAAGATCATAAAAGTATATAAAAGAATATTATGCTATTTGTTTTCATCTTAAGGAGAACATTTTTTTTAATTTTAAATGTTTTTACCCTTCTTAAGGTTCAATTTACTTTGATGCTTTTTGGAAAATTTCAAAAGCAGTTTTTTCCGACGCATTATTTCAGATTGCAAAAAGCTCGCACTATTCGATTCCTTTTGATATTTTACACAAAATGACGCGAGCTTTTTGCAATCTAAAATAATGCGTCGAAAAAAACTGCTTTAGAATTTTTAAAAAATGCATCAAAGTAAATTGAACCTTAAAGGGTGTCCACGATGAAATTGCCACACACAAAATTGATTCGCAAAATTCGAGTTTTCATCCGATTGCCATAAAATTTTCAGGGATTGAGAAATAACTATTAAACTTCATTTTACCATTTTACTCGTATTTTATTTACAGTCCATACGTAAATGCCCGCACCTTGGCCTTAACCCCGGCCATAATATTCTGCACAACCTGTGAATCAACTGTTTTTTGCATGTAAACCCATACTTTCTTCAGTTCCTCGACTGTCTTCACTACCTTAGGTCGTTTAAGAAGGTGCTGCTTCATAATCGCCCAGTACTTCTCGATAGGGCGGAGCTCCGGAGTGTTGGGAGGGTTGAACATTTTCGGCACGAAATTGACCTTATTGTCCGTATACCACTTCAGCACGTCCTTGGAGTAGTGGCATGAGGCCAAATCCGACCAGAAGATTGTTGGGACGTTGTGGGCCTTCAGGAGAGGAAGCAGCCGCTTCTGGAGGCACTCTTTTATGTACACCTGTCCGTTCATCGTGTCCTGGGTCACGAAAGGTGCACTCCGCTTCCCGCACGTGCAGATGGCTTGCCAAACCAGGAATTTCTTCGCAAATTTGGACATCTTCTGAGTGGGGACATGCTCCGGAACGCTGAACTTATCCTTGGCCGTGAAAAACAGGTTGCCGGGGATCTGTTTGAAGTCGGCCTTCACATATGTTTCGTCGTCCATGATGCAGCATTCAACTTTCGTCAGCATGTTGAGGTACAACTTCCTGGCACGGGTTTTGGCGGACTTGTTCTGCTTCTCGTCGCGATTAGGGGCCTTTTGTACCTTGAACGTTCGAAGCCCAGCCTTAGTTTTGGCCTTCTGGACAAAACTTCGGCTTAGGTGCAGCTTCTTAGCCACATCCCTAACGGAGGCGTTCGGATTTCGGTTGAAGGCCCCAACTACGCGGTTGTGATTTTTGGTGTTGTACGGAATACTTTTTCCTTCACTTCTGGGCTTCCGATCGGTGGTCAACCGTTCCTCGAACCGCTTAATCACTCGCGACACCGTGGAATTCGCGAATCCCAACGTTTTAGCGATGGAACGATGCGAGAGATCCTTGTTCTCGTGTTGAATGCGCAAGATTTTATCACGCACGAGCTGTTCTTTCGACTCAATTTCCGCGAGTTTTGATCACAGGACTTTAAAACTTGCAGGATGTAAATAATGCATTATGAACTAAATCCACCCAAATTTTCATTTAATTCTACCCAACGGTTAAAAAGTTAGAGCAATTTCATAGTGTGGCAATTTCATCGTGGACGGACACCCTTTACAAAGAAGGGTATAGATATCACTTGAAAAACCGACTATTGATCCGAGGCCCGGAGGGCCGAGTGTCATATACCATTCGACTCAGCTCGACGAGATCGAACATGTCTGTGTGTGTGTGTACGTGTGTACGTGTGTATGTGTGTATGTGTGTGTGTATGTAACGAAATGAATGCGCTCACGTTTCTCAGCAACCGCTCAACCGATTTGGACAAACTCGGCGCCAAATGATAGGTCTTGGGGTCCCATTGAACGCTATTGAACAGTTTTGGAATCGGTGAACCGGTTCCGGAGATATGGCCGGAATAAGATCCGGTGAATATGGGCCTTCACGCTGGATTTAACGGAAAACGTATCAAAACCATCATGCGACACATCAAATTAAAACAGAATTCAAAAATAAGATCAATGCAAGTCGTGTTAAGTGTTCCAGACCACATTGGACACACTTGGACATGTTCCGGGTACCCCGGGGAAGTTGCTTGAATATGAATTGAATTAAAACCCATTAAATCACATTAAAATACGATGATAAGGTGATTGGTAGCCTCACCAAATATACTACACCCGGATATATTCCGGGTACCCCAGGCAGTGGCGTAGCGTCACTGGATGACACGGGGGTGGGGGGCTTGGTCACTGATAATGACAATAAAATAAATAAACTTGAATAAGTAAGAAGGGTCTGATCACACCATAGGTGCATAAATTCGGTTTTTTTTTTATGGATTTGTAAATAAAAATTTGCCTACAACTTATTTTCGATACTGTTCCTACCTATTCAGCCCCCAGTTGTCTTGCTCCCAGGGAAATAGGTAATGAAATTTAATAAAAACGCTGATGAATATTGCTCATAACCCCTGATAACATCACATGTCATCATGAAGGCATATTTCTTTCAACTCTTGAAAATAATTACACCTCTTAGCTTGATGACATCTTAACTTTTATTGTTTACTTATTATTACCAGTATCACTATAGTAGTTCTTTTTAATGCAAAGAAACAGTTTACGTTTACGCCAAAGTCACACATGCATTGTATTTAGTATGACGGTAGTGCTACATGGGAGAAGATGGGATCTGAGCTTTTTAATGTTTGATCGCTAACCTTTGTCACACAATCGGCAATTAAGTGATTCGCTTGTTTGAAAGAATCAAGCTATTGTTGCGAAAATGTGTTGAACGGATGACTAAAAGCAATTTAGTCGGTTCCCATTCGTTGACATAGGGTTGGAAATGATAAGACTATTTAAACGACAAACCTCTCTCAGGAGATTTACACGGATACGTTCTACGGTTAAGGTTAACTTTGCTCTGGTCAAAATGATCGAAATGGAATATTCTTAAACGGTGATTAGTAGGGTCGAAAGGAAATCCGTAATAAGGTATGATGAGATTTAGGAAATTTTTGTCCGCTTCCGTGCAATGGCTTCCTCCACAGCCCGCAACTGTTTAAGGAGTTCTTCCCTCCTAGAAGATTTTTTCGCGGCACTGGCACTGGCAGCCGCCTTCTCTAACGCTGCACTTGATGGTGGAATGACTTGAGCGTTCGGTTTTGAATCGCCCGATGACTTCTTTAGCTCAGCTGTTGAATAACAAAGAAAAACGAAGTGTGAAAATTGTGTGCTAATTTATAGATACCGTTAGATCTAGATAGAGCTGGAATTTGTAAACAATGACTTTTATCGATGATTTTTAGGAACTCAAGGCATGTCCACGCAAACCATCATAATCGTCGGGTAGGGGAAGTCGTCCCCTACCCGATGGTGTTGTTGAATTGCGAAGGCGAGCCTTAACTTTCTAGAAATCATCGAAAGAAGTCATTATTAACAAAAGCTGTTACGCCCTAATTCCAGCTCTATCTAGAGATGGTCATAATTGCATGCGTCATCATCTTCTTTCGCTCATGTAAAATTTTCCCTTTTGCTCCTCTAGTATAGGGTAGTTGTACCAGTAGGTTGCATCCATATAAACTTCAAACCATTTGCACTAAAACTTCATCAATATTTTTGTACAGGCTAATATTTTGGGGTTAGTAAACAAACTGGAGGGTGGCCTATTAGGTTGCAAATCCTTTTATTTTTCAAAATGAAGTACCCTAATGTTCCAGTTATCCAGTTATGGCGTTCCTACACACTTAATCTAGCTCGGTAAAATCTCCAACAGCCGATTACCTCGGCATTTACTTTTGCTGATATATCTGCAAAATATATGTTTGTTAGCTAATATCTCAGCAAAATCTTATTTGTTAGCTGAGTCTCGGCAATTGTTTTACTGAACCTCAGCAAAATAAATTGCAGAACTACTCGGCTATTGGAATCTCGGCGAAAAAATTTAAGTGTGTATTTATGGTGTAGGGGAGAACAGTACATAACGCACCCCCGGGGTAAGACGCACTTTTTCATTTTATTTTGAGTTTTTCTTCGAAGTTTTAATCCAATTCTAGGATTTATCATGCAGGATTTTGAGTTCAGATGCTATGCTAGAAGTGCTGCTTGATAAGACAACAACAAAGTTACGCAAAAGCCATGAGAAACACAAATGAAAGTCAGCTGGTGCGTTCTGCCCAGGGGGTGCGTTGTATACCATTCTCCCCTATTCCAATTATGACATATGAAATTCCCATAGGATAATAGCATAAATGGTACATCAACTCTAGATAATGTAGCAGTTGACTATTTCTTGGTATTTGTCACCATTCACCCATTTCTTCCCAGGGTAGTATTATGATCAACAACTTTTCGGTCCATCTCACGATTTTCAATCCAATTTTGAATAGTCAGTATCGATTTAAGCTGTCTCTATGTCACCCGCTTACCTAACTACGACTGCCATTTTCTCGAGTTCTTCTTTTTCTATGTACAATATATACAAATCTATAAACAATCAATAAACAATATAAACAATATAAAAATGAATTTCTGTCTGTCTGACCCTTATAGACTTGGAAACTACTGAACCGATCAGCGTGAAAATTTGTATGCAGGGTTTTTTTGGGGCAGGGAAAGGTTTTTATGATGGTTCGAGACCCCTCCCTCCTATGTAAATGGGGGTTCCCATATAACTGAAACAGAAATTTCTGCATAACTCGAGAACTAACCTTTACCTTTGCATGTTCACAATTGCAACGGGAAGGATAGTCGTGTTAGTGGATTGGGTTATTCAATTCGATTCAACAACCGCCGACTAGAAGATCAAGCTGTGAAAAGATCGTTTTTTGAAGAACTTGAGACCCGAACAGCGGATGTTCCGGAAGGTGGCATGGCAGCTTAGAATTTTTTTTTTTTTTTTTATATATCTTTATTAAGGACACTTTTAGGCGTTGGCTGGCTCGTCTCCGTACGACCGGCAGCTTAGAAGAACAGTGGACGGGCATCAAAAATGCCTTTATCGAGACAAGTGGGTACATTCTGGTTGAGCAGCGCACGAAAAGAGCTGATCACCGATGTACCTGGCGAAAGATTGATGAGCGTAGAGAAGCAAAAGCCGCGATACAGCGGGCGAGCACCAGAGGAGCCAAGAATGAAGCCCGTCAACGGTATTCGGTAGCTCTTTCAGTCACAAGCGAGCGTAGGTAGACTCCCTGGCAGACAAAGGGACTGGCGATATCCGCGTCCTCTACGATATCTCACGACGCCTGCATGGAACAAGGATGAATCCAAAGAGACCAGTGAAAGACCCGACTGGACAGTTACTTACCGACCCCATTGACCAGCTAAAACGTTGGTTTGAGCACTTTGAACAACTTCAAGTTTCGACGTCTAATCAACCATCAACATCTCGATATAATCTGCCAAGGGTACGACGCATCACTCGCGTCATCTCCGAGGCCCACCACTTCAGAGTATTGAAGCAGCTATCCGAAGTATGAAATCCAACAAGGCTCCTGGGGTCGATCGCAATCAGCATAAATGCTCAAAGCTGACCCAATGTTGCATAAACTATTCTGTAATATCTGGAACACCGCGACTTTTTCGGCCGACTGGATGCAGGGCGTCTTAGTGAAGGTTTCAAAGAAAGGGGATCTGACTGTGTGCGATAACTGGCGAGGCATCATGTTAATGTGTGTTGTTCTCAAAGTTCTGTGCAAAGTAACCCAGAATCGGATACAGGAGAAGATAGACGTAACTCTCCGGCGCCAGCAGGCAGGATTCCGCAGGTGTGAGGCAAGGATGTTTACTATCATCGCTACTGTTCCTCATCGTAATCGACGAGATCAAGGCAGGTGCAATTGACCGTGTACTGAATCGTGAGCTATGGAGCATCTCAACGACTTCGATTTGGTTGATGATGTTGCGCTATTAGCACAATGGTGCTCTGATATGTAGAGAAAGCTCAAAGACCTAGCCGAACGCTCCTCTGCAGCGGGCCTCACCATCAACGTCAACAAGACTAAATCGTTGGATGTCAACACAGACAACCCTTGCACCTTAACGGTAGCGGAACAAGCAGTGAAGAAAGTCGAAAGTTTCCAATATCTTAGGATCCAGATAGCGACAAACAGTGGGACCAAGAGCGACATAGGTGCACGAATGAAGAAGGCTAGGGATACTTTTGCGAGTGTATGAAGATCTAACCAGATAAGTAAAGGTACCAAAATTCAAATTTTCAATTCAAACTTGACATCTATGCTGTTATACGCCAGCGATACGTGATGTGTATCAGCGGGTAACACACAAAAGCTGCAGGTTTTCATCAACCGACGCATGCTATATATTTCGTGCCTGGTGGCCTTACAACTGGATCTCGAATGCTGAGCTCGATCGTCGATGTCATCAGAAACCGATATCAATAGAAATTCGATAACTTAAATTGAGGCGGTTCGGCCACACACTACGAAGGGGCGGAAATGAAATCTGCAAGCAAGCGCTGGATAAGAACCCGGCAGAACATCGCAGCAAAGGCAGACCCATGGGCTCATGGCGGCGGAGCTTCAACAAGGAAATAAGAGAAGTCGACAGGCAAGGAAGGCAAAAGCGAGCATCCGCCCAGAATGAAAATCTTTCACGTTGGCCTTATGCACCACTAGGGGTATGCAAGATACATAAGTAAGAAAGTAAAGTTGGGTTATTTTTAAATCAGAATTCATTGTGGTAAGAGATGCGATTAGTAGACTGTTTCGATTTAAATCTAGTGGAGATAGAATAAAGCATAATGAAAAATTGCAAGGAAGGGGACGGGCTTGGGATTGAACTCCCCGACCTTATGCCCAGTAAACATAAACGGTAAGCTACCGAGGTCTCGTCTCTAGGATTTTACATATTTTTTCATAGAAAACGATGATTGATTGAAGCGGTAGAATTTTGAAATGTTTTGATCAGTCCACGATCATTAAAATTTGTCCAAGTATGAGATACGAAAATTTTACGAAGTTACAAGATCTGAAAATTGGAATTTATGAGATGTTGGAATCTAATAAATTCTATGTCTGGGATCTTGATTATTTTTTTTAAAATATGAGATTTTTATTAAATCTTTCTACATGTTTTTTTTTTCATGTCGGATACCAAGCCGGAGGCGGCGGGTTCGATTCCCGGTCCGGTCGAGAGCATTTAGAACACTAAGCTAAAAGCATGCAATAAGCTAATATACACTAAGCAATAAGCTTGAAATGTGAATAAGAAGAAGAATATCATGGATTTTGGAAAAGAAATCTTTAGTCCCATAATTATGAAAATGGATAAAATATAAAGTAGTAGTATCAAGTATAAAATCTTGAACATTTAGCCAAGTTCTAAGATCTTGAAATGTTTCAAAGTCCTGATTCTGGAATAATTATCTATTCTCGAGATCTTGAAAATGTTCTGTTGCCGCGATATCTTGGTATTTTTTATATGTCCAGTATTCTGCCGTTATACGCATAACTGTCCCATGTTCTATGCAATTCTTATGTACCGTGGGACTCTTATGCGTATAACGGTAGTATTGTATTGTTCTGCATCTTTCCCATTTCGTAGAAGGTCTGAACGATTGATTGTGCATTTACGCAGGTTGATTCCTGCAGATTTAAGAACCTCGACACCTTGATTCAATAGCTCCCTTACTTCATCGATGTTCTTCGCCCCTGACAGAAAATCGTCGACATACATATCCAAACCAATCCTCTCCACTGCGATCATTCGCTACTTGTCTCATGGCTTGTATAGATTTCGTTCAGTATGTGGCGGTGTAGAGACGGTAGTGTTTGATTGGCTCGCTTGAGAACCACAAATAATCTGTCTAGTAGATGCAACCACACTTGGCAGAGCATCTTTTCCGCATCTACTGCACCTTGTTCGACATGAAACGCAAATGAACAGAGAACAGTTCACGTTTGATTCATCTAGAAGCCCATCGTAGAAAGATACGCCAGATGCGGACACACTAGCGACATAAAAAACCAACCGTCGTTGTGCTCTTTGCCTTCATCCCTGCAAAGTGAGGGAGGTAGAAGTTTTCATTCATGAAATCCGAATACTGCTTGAATCTCGTTCGAACAGTTTTTTCATCGATCTTAACTGCCGCTCATGGCAAGTCCGTCCCATAGCACAAATCAGGAAGCCGAGAAAAAGACGTTTTAAATTTGCATCGCATCATTCCTTCGTATGTAATGGGACAACCCGTTTTGCTGTTTTTTCCAAACATTTCGAGAACAAAGTTATAGAGTTCATCCAGTATTATGAAAATATGATTGATTAGCTAGCGTTTCTATTGAAAAAATCAGTTTTGACAAAAACGCAAATAGGACCGACTTGGGATGAGCGGCAATTAACCTGCCGTCAATGAAACGATCAGCGCAGGCTTCGAATCGTCGAAAGGAAGTTCCACGATGAAGCGTCCCGAATGGTCCAGAGAGGAAGCGGACTGGTAGAACTATACTGCCGCTTGTTCAGAAGGAGTAGGCTGATGTAGCTTTGGAACCTTCTCCTGATATGTTTACCTCTGCATGTAGATTGATGATGAAGAAATGGTTGGAATCATCTGTCCTGTAGATAGCTAAATTTCCAAATCCATTGTATTCTGGGCCACAGAAGTACCTTTTTTTATCTTTGTATTGGTAAGAACTATTGCATTCCTGCTGATAGGTTTGGGTTTTCATATACATGTTCAACTGCCACCGTACGTTTCACACGCAGTGAACTGTTGCAAACAAATCAAGTCGTTTCGCCTCATTCTCATTCCGAAAGAACAAACCCTTGATGAATTCAACTTTTATGTTACCCACATTTATTTATCTACCATCTAGAGTGATTAAAAAAGTGCTTTTTACATGAAAAGCGGAGCTAGACGACGCGTGACGTTATGGTGATTTGGGTCAGTTGGTAATTTACCTTTCTTTGACGGTACAGCCGCCTTTGAAGGTTTCTCGGAAACCTTGGATTTTTTTGACTTTTCCCGAGACGACGTCGAAGAACTGGAAGAGTAAGAACTCTCAGAACCAGAATCGCTGGAATCAGACGAGCCTGAACCAGAAGAACTCGATCGTCGTCGCCGTTTTTCAGTGGACGATTTAGGCACCGGCGAGGACTGGAAATGGAATGCGTTATTATGTTTTCCAAGTTCCTCTGCGATTATAACTTACCTTTTTCCTTTTGGTGGTCACCACTTTTTCTACAACTCTCTTTTCTGGAGGAGGAGGTGAAGCATTGCGTTTCTTAGCAACAACTGGTGAAACTTTTCGAACTGCAAAAGAAAGGCCACAATTAAAACAAAAAAAAATACTCCGCGTTGGAGAATACTTACCTCGCCTCGGGCTTGCGCTGGGAGATCGCGTACGAATAACCTTCCGTACGTGTGTCGTGTGGCGCTCGCTCTCCTTTGACCGATGACTATCGTAGCGGGTGCGTTTTGTGCTGGGGGACGGTGAACGACTGGAATCCGAACTGGATCCGGATCGAGAGCTGCTGCTGGAACTACTGTACGATGAACTATTGCTGTAGCTGCGTCTGTCACGGCGTGATGATCGCTTCTCACGGCCAGGTGATTTAGAACGCATCCATGGATCACTCCATTCATCAGCCCGTTGAACGATCACTTCACGAGTAGCCCGATTGCGACGTTTAGTTGGATCCTCATCCTCATACTGTGGCATCCGATGAGAAGGCAGCTCTCGGTAGCGGTGAGTGCGACCGAAAGCGTCCTCCTCGAAAGAAGCTGGCCCAGGGCGAGTAAACTTAGCGGTCACAGGTGCATTGAACTCATACGATACAGCTGCAACCGCTGGACGTGCACTGTATGTTGGTGACTACGAAAATGTATTGTTTAATTTTGGTGCCTACTTAAAATCATTCACAATCAAATTACCTCTGGTGAACCTCTGGTATAATAGTTGTCCTTCTCCAATTCGTCCTGAGTAAGAGAAAGATTCATCTTCTTGTCTTCAAAGTCGATGTCCTGCTCCTTACGCTTGGTAGCTTTGCGCATCATTTCCTTTGCCGTTCGGAGACCACGTTCCCAGGCGCTTTCACCTACCGTATCCTGGGCTCTGACTTGTGGTGGTAGTGCACCAGGGGCACTATATGGAACGGCATGGTGCGGAGCAATATGATGCATCGGAGGACGCTCAATGCGATAGTCCGTTGGATATACAACCGGATGGGCGGCGTATGGTGGAGGTTGATGCGGGATCGGAACCGGACGTACCATATCGAACATGGTATAGTTTCCCTTATCCGTTACTCCGGGATGTAGAAATCGACAACTCATTCCCCAAGTACATTGACCACGAGTGTAAAAGCGACAAACCGGTTTGGGTTCCGTCTCTTCCGGTCTCTTTTCATCTTCATCCGAGACCTCGCCTTCTTCCAGTTCTTCCCCTTCTTCCAACTCAACGTCGGAAGGCTTCTTCTTATCAGATTCCGGAGCTTGAACAGGAATCTTACCAGTTTCAGTTTTCTCCACCTCCTTCGGCGGATCATTACATTCACCCTCCTCTGCCTCGAAATCTAAAGCATCCTCATCGTTTTTTGTATCCATCAAATCCGCATCCAACAAGTTGTCGTGAGCTACAAACAGAGAACTGGTTAGTAAAATCACAATCAATACAATCTTCAATTTGCTACTACCTCTCAGAGACCCATTGGTTTGCTGCTTTTCCTCCATGCTCCGCAATTGATTTTTCTTCTCTTCCAACTTCTGGCGCAAATCGGTTATCTTCATCTTTTCGTTCTCCATGGACTGTGGATCATCTTCCTCCTCGGTACGCTGCTTCGGCTCATCATCTCTCTCTTCCTCAGCGTCCTCCTTGTCACTCTCACGATCGCTGTCCTTCCCGATTTCCTGTTCATTCTCACTTTCGAGACTCACATCGCTCAGATCCTCGTGGCTCATGTCTAGCGTGTCCTTAACTGCACTGTGTGCGGAAGGCATTTCACTGTCTTCTATCTTGTCGTCGTTGCTCTTGTCCTTGTCCTCCTGATCGGACTCCATCTCGCAATCCGAGATCTCTTCTCCCTTCAACTTCTCGCTAAGATTAGAAGCACTGGAGTGCCGTGACAGATGACGATGGCGTTTCGGCGAAGTATCCGATCGATTCGATTCCTTCGAACCCGACCGTGACCGATTGTACCGACCATCCGGTGAGCCACTGCGGCTCCGGGGTGATTTCTGCGGCATAGAATTTCGCGAATTCTCCGCACTCCGGAAAGAAGGCGAATTCGATCGGGACGCTGCATCGTCGTAGTTTTTCGGACTCGACGGTGGACTGTTTTTCTTCGATGCCGGACTGTTGGAGCGCGAATGAGATCCGGAACGCGAACGCGAGCCCGATCGCGACCGAGACCTAGACCGGGAACGAGACCTAGAGCGGGAACGAGACCTAGATCGGGAGCGGGAAGCACGACCTTCGGCACCGTCCGCTTGTGCGTTCGGGGCACCACCGGGAACACCCGGACTGGACGGGCTATCCGAGTCGGAGCTATTGGATGCCGACGAGCCGGGCCTGGAATCGTCACTATCCATGGTTCCGATGGCTGGAACGAAACAGGATGACATTAGTGTGACCTGGTAGTGAAAGAGGGGAAAAGCGTGGGTGATCTGGATGTGAATTTTAGTGCGATCCCTTGCTGCGAGAGTGAGTTATGGTGCTATCTTTCAATGGAGTGAAGTTATTGGTATCAGTTGGAAACAATTTGGAGAAATTTAACATGTTAATGTTTTTTGGCGTTTTTGTTTTTAACCTGATTCAACTGGTTCAGATACGAATGATATCTTGTCCAATAGAATTTTGAATTTTTAAATTACCATTGGAAATGAATGCTTTAACTGTAACGGATAGTATAAAACGCCGGTTTAAATAAGGTTTCAGCTATGATTAAACTATGCTCACCTATGCTAATAACATGAAAACCAGTCAGTTTCCTCTGCAGAAGGCTGACATAAACTTCCGAAATGAATGCATAACCATAAGTCTTATAAATCAACAACTAGTTCGGAAAATCCTGACATAATTCTTCACAGAGCATTCATACTTACGTCGCAAACTTAAGGAATGGCTTCTTCTACAAATTTCTTATAATTCAAGGTCTATGCAATCCTATCGGATAGAGGCACAATCATCTTGATTGCTTGGGCGAAATTTCTTTCTCGATAAATTCGCGGAAAAAGCGGAGAAATGATCAATTTTCAACAAACTTGAAAAAAAAATTACTTTTAGTATGTTTTTACCATAAATTAAATAGTATGAATGTTTCTTATGCAAAGACTAATAAAGTATATAGAAACAATAAAAAAAAAGTTTGTTAAAATTGATCGCATTAAAAATAAACCCTTTTTTTGGCGGTTGTTTTATAGTTTAGTTTGTCACAAATAGTCCCTCAAGATAAACCTTCTGTTTATGTAACATAAATTATTGACCCTCTGGTAACACCTACCATTCAAAGTAGTTAATTTATTAACGGTAACAGCTATTTTTTCAATGTCAGGTACTTTGTCTGTGAAAGGGAATCTAGTGTACTTTTAAAAGCGTATGTATTGACTGACTGCTGGCGAAGACAACATATCAAGAATAAAGAGCCTGAATTTATAAAGAGACGACATGTCAAAATTGGAACAATCGATTATCTGTCAACGTCATACGAAAAGTCATTCCAATCGAGCAGAAGACCTGTCAAATGGATAAGATGTCGTCTCTTTATAAATGCAGGCTCTTTAATCAAGAAGACTGGCACTGACAGTCTTCTTGATTTCTAGAGTAACATTTGAAATGGGCCTATGTCCAAAACGTAAACAAATCGGGGTTTGATACCATTCTTTAGCACCGCTTGATATCTACTAATCGTGTAAGAAAGTTCCGCATAATCGAGAAAAATCATTAAAAATAACTCGATTTTCGAAACGGCCGATCAACGAAATTTTTCGATTCATTTATAGGCCCGCACGCTAAAACGGCCAACCATTCATTTATTTCATTTCATTGTTAAGCCTAGTGACGTAGAAAGGCCGATGATTGAAAAATTTCAAACCAAAGCTAGGCCCTACTGCTTGAGGCACGGCCGATGATTTGTTTTGAATTTATTTGACGTTGCGAAAAGGCTTAGCAAAGGGCCTACCATTTCTGATGACAAGCACAACGGCTTAACAAAAAGGGCCTATCCATTGAAAGATTTACAAAAAAGGCTTATTAATTTATGAAATTATATTGTTATCGATTTTCATATATTTTTGAAAGCTTTTCGCATATTTTGGATGTTGTATACTGAGATACAGTTACTATTGTTATTGTGAACAATATAAATGCCTAAAGTACTTCAATTTTCTTAAATATGAATAGAATAGAGGTGGCCAAAATTTAAAATTCATTTTCTGGTTTGTTTACGTTTTGGACATAGGCCCATTTCAAATGTTACTCTAGATTTGATGTCTTCGCTGCTGGGCTAATACACTCTAAAAAATCCTCACGTCCGATTTACGTATTTAGAAAATCTCAAATGTTACGTGACGTTAGTAACTTTGACCTGCATTACACGTCATGTCCACTAAAAATGTTGGTGAAATCGACCTTATATTCACATAAACAGATTTAGTGTATTTGTGTCTGTGTGTTTGGGACTTCTATATTTAAACGTCGTCTCAATTTAAACACGTGGAATTTATATCTACCCGATGAAATTGCATAATATTCACTGCTTCTACATATAAGTTCCATTATTCTCATTAAAAATTCACGTACAAATTATGTGAAAAGCATTTTCAACAAAACGGAATATCACGTAAAAGTTACCGGTTTTACAAGTAGTTTTCAACCCGATTTCACATAAGGAGTACGTGGAAATCAGGGTCTTATTTACCTGAATAATTACGTAGATAATCGAAGCTGAATTTTAATCGGCTACGTACAATTCCGGTAAAAGTTACGTGAAAAATAGGGTGACCGAAAACCACCTATGTTTTCACGTAAATATGACGTGACGATTTTTCAGAGTGTAGTTATCTTGAATCATTTAGTTGATAGGTCTATTATAGACTAAAGCGATGCACTGCGTTATTACCAAAAGGAGTGTATAGAAGGCATTTTGAGCATTCTTTTTCGACTTCTTATTGGCTGTGACGCTCTAATTTGAGCATTAACTGCACTCAACTTCGTGACAATACGATTTATTGTAAATACAATACATTCTATTGTATGGTTACAATACATTTAATTGTACCTCTATGGGTTCTTTTTTACGGGATCCTAAGCCCAAGGAAGTCGAGAAATTTTCCAATCCGAAAAAAATCATAGATCGGACGGGAATCGAATCCAGCCGCCTCCAGCATGGACTTGCTTCGCAGCTGCGCAGATATCGACCATACACGGCGATATTGATAAAACAGTTTTCGTCAGTCACTCGAGCATGATCTTCAGGGGAAATTCATTTCAATTGTCAGTGACTACTAATATGCGCTGTTTTTGTTATTAGCTAAATTTGTAAAGAAATTAAATTAAGTAAGCCAAAAACTCAGATCCTGGTATGACATTCAAAAAAAGATCCACCAGCGAAAGAAATATTAAGCCGTCTGAATTACATTGGCACACCCCTCGTATTTCAGGATTTTGACATTTAATTGTTTATATGCATCACAAAAGTCTACCGTAGAACTCTGAAGCCGACGCCGGTGGTGTGGTGGTATCCATGGGATTTTTCTGAGGCATACAAATCTTTCGTCACGTCTTCCTTCGAAAGGGAAGTAAAGCCGTTGGTTCCGACCCATGTGTGTTGAATGGGTGCGATATCCAGGTGTGGAAGCTGCCATCCTGCACACCGTCAATGGAGAGCTATCGATGTCCGTCCCGTCGTCACTAGATTGCGGAACAAAGACCGACGTTAAATAAAGGAATGAAGAAGAAGAAGTAGAACTCTGAAGTATTTTTTGAAGCAGCAACAATGGGCGGAAAGAAAATTTCTCTTCAGGTCCTAAATCTCATTGTGCGTGATTGCCAAAGAAACGAATCGCAACGCAACATAGCCGAAAAGTATGGGATAAGCGTTGGGGCAAGTATCAATTGCTTGTAAGTGTTGCTGATCTATCTGGAAGAGGACAAAAACGAAAAAATTATTCACGAACAGACAACAGGATAATGTGAGATTGAAAAAAAAACACGCACACCATCCAGCAGTGAAAAAAGGCTGAGTCTGTCGATTTCTGATCGAAACCATTCGACGAAGCATTGCTAAACATGGTTTGAGTCGCCATATAGTTGGGAGGGTTGGCCGCACTAAAGAGTCATGTAAAAATTGGAAGAACCGGATATCAGTCAAAGTCTTGGAAATAGTCATTTCAATCGAGCAGACACCCGAGCAAAGCTGGAGATCAAATTGAAATCAAAATTTGCTGTTATGATGTAACTTATTTTGAATACTCCAGTTGATCTCATTTTAGTTGACTTAACGGTTAACACAGCAAAAATGAGAGCAAAATTTTACACTGTTGAAGCAAACGGAAAACTAATCCTGCTTTCAATTAAATCAATTTGATTACTGATTTTGCATTCATAATGTATACGGGCCTGGAGTAAATGGTTAGCATTCATGCTTCTCACGCTGAAAGACTTGGCTCAAATCTCACCCCGGGCAAGTCACAAATCAGTGCTAACATTTGAAAACGGCACAAAAGCCATTTGTAAACAAATGGTTTGTGGGCCCTTTACTCACTACTTGAAGTACACCCACGAGACACAACAGCAACATCGGGTAGGGGAAATTTTCCCCTTCCTGACGATGCTGTTGGTTTGCGTGGGCGTTCTTCGGGTAGCGAGTAAAGGGCCCACAAACCATTTGTTTACAAATGGCTTTTGCGCCGTTTTCAAATGTTAGCACTGAAATGACCTAAAATGTGTTAAACAAAACAAATAAACAATAATCATGATGAACTTCAATTAAATTTTAAACAAGACGTTAACAGCAGAACTTCAAGTTAAGTTGCTTTCATTTACAAAGTCTTGACTGCATAATGAAAGCACAATATGATGTCAGACTTATGTCGCGACATTTGAAATCAAAATGAGTTTTCATTATGATAGGAACTGCACACTTTAATATCGATTTGCTTTCATTTGGTAAACGGACTTTGCTCGGGCAACCTGTCAAATTGATGAGCTGTCGCCTCTTTGCCCAATTTAGCCTATAGTCACTATATTTCAGGGGAAACATGTCAGAAGGGTATAACTCGAAACGTAAACAATGACTTTGAACATTGATTTATCTTGAATGACCACACATTCACGGAATCTGACTACACCAACTCATAGAACAAACATTTCTCAAACATTTCAAATCCTGCCAGCAGGCAACTGTAATTTCTTCAATAATAATCTGGCACCCTGACAATGTTCAAGCTTTTGCAGAACGTTTTCGTTGTACGCAACATTTTTTTTTTTCGTCTGTGCAGTATGAATATCAATGTAAACAATCAATTTTAGACGGAATAGGAGGAAATGTGTTAAAAGAATATCGAACAACTTACACTTGTCAACGCATACCTGCAAAATTACCATTCCATCCGTAAAAAATCAATCAAAAAGTATATTTTCATCTACGCATTAGCCGCGTCGCTGTTCTCTATGAAAAACATAAAAATAGCATTCATAAATACATTTGACAAATTATCAACTGAATTGGTTTAATTTTTTTCGATTAATTTATCGTGACGATCACAATACTTCGACCACATTGATCTATTAAGAAACAGTCATGCTCGATTGGCTCCCGTCATTGTCTACGCCAGCCTATGAATATAGTGACTATAATAATTCAGCCTATTTAGGTCAAATATCTTTTAAAAAATAATGCCTACGTAGTTTATTGGCAGCTCGTTCCGTCCAATACAAAAGTTTAACGAGTTGGGTTTGTAAGAAATTATTACATACGATGAAGCAGTGCGGAAGCCTATCAGTGCAAACAAGTTGATTGAAAGGTAATTTTAGGCGAAACACCTTGGTGCACCATAGCTGCCCATCAGTGTACGCCCATGTTTGTCTTTTTCATCAGTATGTTGCTTAGTTCGAGGATCAAGAGCACATTGCTCTCCAAACCTTGTGTTCTCAATCCCTACCCTGTCATCCATTTGTTACAATTTTTTACCCCTAACCTAGAGATAGCCGCGAGTAATCGGCCTCCACTTTACTAACGTTAGTTTTAAGTAATTTTGTTATCTAAACAATAAATATCGGCTCCGCAAAGCTACAGCAAATGAGCCAGCAAAAATAAACGAATTATTTAAAAAAAAACTACCACCATTACACCATTTCCCTGTAGGAATTAACGGCGTAAATTAAATAGTTAGGGGCTGTTCATAAACTACGTAGGCGGTTGGGGGAGGGGGGGGGAGTTATCCACACCCCATACAAATTGTAAAAAAATTGTAAGGTTAATTGTCTACGCAGGGGGAGGGGGGAGGGTCAAGAATCTCAAAAAACTGTCTACGTAGTTAATGAACTTTCCTTTATTAAAAAGGTTTTCAGCCTTAGGCTAGTTCGCCTCTGCTGAATTAACTAACGTGTTTTAGAAAACTAATTGTAATTGCGACTCTCTTATGAATTCAGGTATTTTTAAATGTTTATAAAATTTATCATTTATGTTTATTAAACGGTTTATATTAAACTGATACCATTTTACACACCAGTTGAATTGAGTAAGGCATAGCATTCCGACACTGTTCCTGTTGTTAGCTACTCAACTTTTACATGTTTGTAACAGTCACTGTAAGCACTAGCAAATTGTCCACATCTTACCGACTGAATAATTTATCATCTGATATGTTTACACATTTCATCCTTGATTGCTTGTTTTACCTATGATATTCACATTTTGGATGATAGATTTCGTTCTAGATTTGCTCTTCTCCAATCAATCACGTCTTACCTTCGTACAAACATCGAGTAAAAGCCCTCGAGGAGGCGGGGACACTTTCTCCCTGATCATTTCAGGACTTTATTTTTTGTTCAAACAAGCACCAATTACAAATTACTACTTTTAGTTCTACTGAACTTGACTGAAGAGTTCCAACATATGCGCACTTACCATCCTCCTTGTATTCAAATACGACTGTCGTTTAGTTTCAATCGAGTCTTTCCTCTACCTCTTCGTTTCTTGACCGGGAGCACCCGGCCGGCTCACGAACAGATTCAAGCGCATTGATTAAACTTAAACCCACTCGTTATCGGATTGGTAAATTTCCCGTTAAGAGGATGGTCAACAAACTATATTCCGAAAACAAAACAAAGAACGTAAACCGCCAAACACATTATCAATACAATTTCATTCAACTTGTGTTGGTACATTGTTCCATTAACTTCCTGCTCAGGAGTCTGCTTGTATACATAACTGAACTTGATCCGAGCACCATTTTGATTCCGACAGTCCGTGAACTAAACGAAACATAAAAAAAAAACTTCACAACTTTCGTGTCCATACATTTCTTCATGTTCTTCTTCTTCCGGAACGAACTCTCTGGAACCGGTTAACTACTTATTTCATTCCATAACTGAACTTCACTAGGTTACATAAATACTTTAAAACGACCATTTCCTTTTCTGCATCTTAGTCCTTTCGAGAAAATTTCATTCACTAACTTTCAATCGATCCGTCTCATTTTCCATTCTGCGCTAATTTCACAATGGTGGAAGGTTTTTACTCTTGAAGTTGAGCAGTCTTCCTTGCCCGCGGGTTCTTACCTTTGCAGAGAGGACCACTGTAGGTTCAATTGCACACACGGGTATCCTGTATTCTGATTCCGGTTCGGCAGAGGCGTTTGCGAATAGATTTTTCGCAATAAAATCAAGCAGAAAATCCGTAAATTCTTCCGGACCACGCCAAAAAATGCTTCTGCGATGCTGAACGGTGCAAAATTTTCTACGCGAAACAAAAATGGCTGATGATTTTTGACGTTTCAGTTGCAGGGTTGCAATGTATAACCGTTTCGAGATGTCAGGGTGGTATTCAGTGAAGGTAAAATAAAAACATCACAGAAAGGCCATGCATAAATTACATAACACCAAAGGAGGTTATTGAGTATTGGCTATAGATACCGAGATAGATACCATAGATTCCATAGATAAGCGGAGGCACAGGCTACCATGAATAATAAATGATCTTACTGGCATCCGTGAAAAAAGTTCATGCCATCATAGAGCTCTTTGTTGTGCAGTTTTGTTTTGTTTCGTGCGTTTTGAACATTTAAATGAAGTGCAAAGCAAATCTTTGCAATAATTAATCGAGGAATAGTTTGCTTTATCTTTTCTTACAATCTTGTGAACAAACTATACCAAATGATAGAAAAACCATTGATCTACCTGTTTGTGTTGTTAGTTTTTTAAATTGAGCCTTAATTCGCGATAAATCACCAAATGAAGTGTTTGTTTACAAAAGCAATTACGCCCTAATCTCGAAGTTCTCCGGGAATGTCTGGGTTGATTCTACTTATTTGTGTAATATGTATTGTGATTATGATTAAGTGTTTATGTGCAATAAAGAATATGAAGTATTTTTATGATTTGATATTTTTTTAAAACGTTTGCTGACAAGCAATAACCTGAAGCAAAAAAACCAATCAATAAAATGGATACTTTTTACTCATGTGCAGAAAAAACATGATTGATGAAAAGTACCCATTTTTTTACGTATTCGCTGAATACTCATTAATGAGTAAAATAGGTTCTACTCATTTCATGAGTTAAGCCACTTTTCTTCAAAATGGTTCTTTTTTTACTCATTAATGGGTACTTTCAAGTTAGCGTGACATGCAGAAAAATCTATCGTCGAAACAAAAATATTTAAGGTAAATCCAAACGTAAACTCAGTTTGTTCTGGCCACAAATATATACTAGTTTGATTTCAAACGTATTCCATGTAAGAAGTCATGTGATATGAATGATAAAAATTAAAATGTTTCGTTTTTTTTTTTTAAATAATATTCATGTTGGAAATAAATGTGAAAATTTTTGTTTGATTTGAATTTGAACAAAAATAAATATGCTTATTTCAAACATGCTTTTAATTTTTAAAACAAACATCGGCCTCTTTCTACACTAATAGAATTCCACACATTTTTATTGAATAATTTCCATGTAAAATTCCACATGATTTTTAAGTGACCACACATAAACAGAATCCATCCAGAAGCACACATTAAATTTATAAGTCAAAGGAATAGTAGTGGTTACACATGGCTTTTATGTGTACACATATTAAGCACACACAACCAGACGTAACACTTCATTGTGTATCTCCGTTCATGCATTTAACGGTTGATTTGAATTTTATCAATTCCGCGAACTACTCGCCGCAGCGATGGCATCGGATTACTTTGACGTTTCTATACATTCTATAGATCTTTTATGCAATATTGTTTGCGAGTTAGCGAGCAATCTTGTTTTCCGCGAGAAGCCAGAGAGATATCGTTACTGAGGTCGTACACGAAACGAAAATCAATTATTTTATTCATGTGTTTCACTTATACATTTTTGCCAAAACATCAGCCTTATACCACAAACGAAGTGACAGACGACTAACTGGCGAAGAAATCCATTTAAATAATGTGGTTCACTGTAATAGAATTTTCTTGGAAGCTTGTGCCATCATCCGCCAGATGGGTTAGTTTTTTTGTTTTGATTTGAACAAAGTTGATTTTGTGTACAATGATTCTTTGACAGTGTGCAAAGAGTGCGTATCATTTTGTCATTTTTTATGCATTTCAGTTTTGAATAGAGTGAAAGAGATAGAACCAAAACATTCTAATACATTTGGTGAAAATGCTAGTACAATCCAGTAGTAGTGTTGCCATGTGGTACAATCCAGTAGTAGTGGTGTTGCCATGTGGTACACTGAAAAATTGAAATAGCAGGTTAGTCACCAAAGTTTTCGAGCCGCTCCGTCTGTCACTTCGTTTGTGCTTATACATTCCATAAGACAAACCACATAGGTTCTATAAGAGTGCATAAAAGGTATGTGTGACCACTTATACATTTCATTTGACACATGATCTTCATTAACTTTTTGCAAGGCGTCTGCTTATTAGTTGACTTATACATTTTATGAATAATCAGCAATAGAAATTTGCCAAAAGGTATAAGGAGATTTCTATCCGTGTATGTTTTGAGATACTATGTTTTCAAGAAAAACTTTTTCAAAGTGTTACGTCTGTTTGTCTGTGTATTAAGTGTGTCCGACACATAGATATCATTTATTTTGTTGATCACATTACAAAAATTCATGTGTAGGACACATAAAAACAACCTTTGAAATTTAATCAGTCTACGTTTGGTATCGGGAGAGAGGGGAGGATCCAACATGGATTCAGAATCCATTTCAGATTTTCGTTTTTCTTTCGACGTCTTGCGTGGGGGAGGATTATATAGAGATCAGCTCTACAGTTTACAATAAATCAAAACAACTACATGGTTTAATAGATGGCCTTTGCGCAAATGGAGCATTTTTATTAGGTTAACATTCAGCTCGCATTTAGCACATAACTAACCACAAGAAGCTTCCCAACAAACAATTGCCTATTGAAGAAACGACTTCTTGACGATTTTATTCCACTTCATGCTTAATAATACTTGTACTATTTTTAATAAACACTTCTGTTCAGGCTTTGTTCACACAAATCTGGAGAATTTATTCAACCACAACATCGAAATATTTGGTGTGGAATAAGGTATGTCGAGAAGCTTTTATTCGACTTAGAAGAGTTGTAAACAGAGCTAATTCGATCAAATTTTTGATTATTCAGCGTTTATTAGACATATGTACTTCCTTAAGCAGCGATAGTATAAAAGTATATAGACGCTTGATTCTCATGTGAAATAATGTTTAATTATTACATCATTATACATTTATTAAACGATTATTCAACTACGGGATTATTAATCCGAAAATAAGAACAGCACAGAGCAGGGTTGTTCTCGTTAGTGATTGTTGTGTCATTTATTTCTGTAGAAGCACGCATTCACCACCAGGTACTAGAAAATTCATTACATACATATATACATACATACATACACATGTCGTTAGATGGGATTCGAACCATGACCTTCCGATCACCAGCCGCTTGCCTTGCCATCTGAGCTATCCTAGAATACATCATATGAGCAGCAAAATAAGCAATAAAAGCTTGAATCTGAAAACCTATCAGCACTTCCAGTCGTAACTCTAGCTAATTCAAGGAGATGTGAGAAAGATTAATTCATTCATAATTGTTTAACATAAGACCAACGTTACCTCTCCATCTCTCTAATTTCGATTAAAGGATGCTATTCTTTTCTATAGATCTATGAATTGGTTGTCGTGAGTGATACGATTTAAATTAATTAGGAGTAGAACATAAATAAAAAAGGGTTGAGGCTGGGATTGAACTCGCGACCTTCTACTTGGAAAGCGGAAACGGTTACCACTATGCTACCAATTTCGTTTTGTTGTTAGCCTGAAGCACTGTTGTGGAATAATGAATGAATACGCCGTTTGTAGAGCATTTATAAAGCATGCAATTAAAACATGGACGCATAGTGGTATAAGAGCTATTATGCTGACTGTATTCACCTTTATTCAGCAATATTGTTAAGCAATGCAATGGAATCTAGTAATGGAGCTAGAAAACAATTATTAGACGTATAATAAAGCATGTTATTAAATCAATTGAAACAGTCGGATTAAAGCGTCAATGATGTATGTGCAAATTACACTTATTGAGTATGTTATTAGATCAAACTTCTGGTGTTGAATCAGGAAGACAGTCATCGTTTGTATAGGTTTTAATAAGTATATTAATCAAATCAGAGCAATCAGCGGAATAAAGGCGCATCATCGATCTCAATGAGGTTTTCTGAGTACATAATTTGACAACCCGTTTTATTCAGCATTGTACACTGTTATAAAGCATTTATTCAATCTATATGCTTATTTGTGACTCTGAATTGTTTTTGGGCAGTGTTGTGGAATAATTAATCAAATACGTCGTTTATAAAGCATTTACAAAGCATTCAACTAAAACATGGACGCATAGTGGTATAAGAGCTATTTTGCTGACTGTATTCACCTTTATGCAGCAATATTGTAAAGCAATGCAATGAAATCTAAGAATGGAGCTAGAAAACATTTATAAGACGTCTAATAAAGCATTTTAATAAAGCAATTGAAAACAGTCGAATTAAAGCGACAATGGATGTGAAAATTACACTTATTCAGTTTGTTATTAGATCAAACTTCTGGTTCTGAATCAGGAAGACAGTCAACGTTTAGAAAGCTTTTAATAAGTAAATTAATCATATCAGAGCAAACGGCGGAATAAAGGCGCATCTATCGATCTCAATGAGCTTTTTTCAGCACATAATTCGACATCTTGTTTTATTCAGCATTGTACACTGTTATATAGCATTTATTCAATGTGTATGCTTATTTGTGACTGTGAATTGTTTGTTGGGTTGTTCTTCCATCTTCTCCCAAATGAATCCATATCTCATAGTACGTTCAGACTACAGAGTTATAACAACAATCAATACGAAACTAACGATTTTAAATTAGCTCACCACTTTAGTAGCCTATTGGTTCCAAGCAAACGATTAACGTACCCTATTCTAGTTGAAATTCTATTACTACACTATGTTTGTTTTGATTCGCTATGAAAGTTTGACAGATAACATCAGGGGTGTGTGGATTCATGCAGAACATGCAGGGGTGAGTGAAATAGCTTGGGACTGCTTGGGACCGTTGTTCTGGTACTGAGTGAGCCAAAAATAATAATGATTTTCTTCGGGACCCAGTGGTCTTAGAGTTACCTCTATGGTTATAACATAGAGGTAACTCTGTTATAACATGTTATAGCGCTATCTTGATCTTGATATTAACGGATATTTCGTTTCGATCATGTCCAACTAGGTGACCATTATGAGTAACAAGGAGAGGGGCAAACCCGTGGAAATGTAGTTACGGAAGCTACGATAGTCGGCTTTCCAGATGCCATAATACCGGTAACTCTAAGAACAGAAGGTCCCGACGAAACGTGCTCAACTTTTTGGCTCAGCTCTGGTACTCGCTTCGGTCCCAAGCTAATCGATGCACCCCTCGAAACATAAGGAAATCCATGAACCCCTCATTTTATCTGTCAAACTTTCATAGCAAATCAAAACAAACATAGTGTAGTACTAGAATTTCGACTAGAATGGGATACGTTAATCGTTTGCTTAGGACCAATAGGCTAGTCAAGTAGTGAGTCAATTTAAAATCGTTAGTTTCGAATTGATTGTTGATAATACCGTTATACCATAGAGGTTATACCAACAATCAATACGAAACTAACGATTTTAAATTGGCTCACCACTTTAGTAGCCTATTGGTCCCAAGCAAACGATTAACGTACCCTATTCTAGTCGAAATTCTAGTACTACGCAAGGTTTGTTTTGATTGCTATGAAAGTTTGACAGATAAAATGAGGGGTTATTGGTTTTACCTATGTTTCGAGGGGTGATTCGACAAGCTTGGGACCGAAGATAGTACCAGAGGTGAGCCAAAAAGTTGAGCACGTTTCTTCGGGACCTACTTGTCTTAGAGTTACCTCTATGGTTATACCAAAGATGAATACTAAGATGAAACTGTCGGAAGAAAAACTTTCTATATTAGTGTCCTCTTTCACGGTCCCTTTCATCCATTGAATACCCCTCGTATTCAAGATAATTTTGTGGTTTTGCTGCCCCTTCGGTAGAGATGAAATGTTGCACTCATTTTTATCAAAATAAACACACCAAAATCAGAGGTGTCCCATTTTTTAACTACTCGATTAACAACTAATCGATTTTTTTTTGTTTGTTGTGCTGCCATTTTTCCACCAATGAGAGTGCAGCACATGTTTGAAACGATCGGTGATGATCCTCTGGAGAAGTTTATGCTTATATCGGCATGATATAACCGATTGCAAATATTATACTTTTCGGTTCGTTAATCGATTAATCGATAATTCGAATGAAAATCGGCCATCACTAGATGAATGTGAAACGTCATTTCAAATATATGGATCGTGTATAAATAATGATACAATTTGAAAGGGACCGGGGCTCATCACAAATTACGTCCACACGGTAACTGAAATAAACACGAGTGCTCACCGGTAACTCTAAGACTAGAAGCACAAACGAAGTGACAGACGGAGCGGCTCGAAATTTGATTTGACGCACTTACATTTGAAATTTTCGAGTGTACCTCACGGCAACACTATCTACTCATACGTACTAGCTTAAAGTAGTTGATGATATTGATTGTACCCACCTGTTATCTCTTTTTCTCTAACGAAAATTGAAAGGGAGAGCCTGTTGTCAGACAGCATGACATTATGTTGCTTTCGTTGTTATCTGGGCCAACATTATCAGGGGTGAATACTTCGGGTTAACATTTGCTTATAAGTAAACGATGTTGAGCAGTCAATGACTCGCGCTTGTTGGCGGCAATTGTTGCTACAGATTTCATCAGTCCGTGCTTCTAACCAAAGCCACAGTCATCCGCGACCGAGAAGACATCGATGATTATTTCAAAAGAAAAATAGTTAGCTTGCTATTAATTTTTGAAATTTAAATTTCTTTTGTTTTATTTATTTTTTTCGACACACTGTTCTTTCCGTCGCGTAGTTCTATTTTAATGCTACTGTAATGTAATCCATCTATCGAGCAGCTAAATGTGTTCCAACATGTCGCTCCAGTTGATGATACTGAAGTCATCCAGAGGACGGCGCGTGGTGGCGTGACACTTTAGCAACTCCGTATAATCGCATTTGGAAACGCCCTTTCCGGATCCCGTAAAATAGGCCTATCCAAGCGACAATTCTTGGCATCGATGCGAATTATGTATTTTAGGTAAACCACACAGCTTCTTCTTCATCGCTTCCCTTCTGGCATAAAGGGAGGATCTCATGGATCAGCATTGGGTCATAAGCAGGTCTTTGTGGGGAATGGTATTTGATGCCTTATGGGGAAATTTATTCGATCGCTTCGAAAGTTATTCATGGCACCTGGGAAACCTTGAGTCAATAAAGCGCTTGGTACGGTATTTTATTTAAAAAGATATTGAAACAAGTAAATAAGTATGTGTGATATGAATGTTTATACCCGCTATTCTCAAAAACAAAAGCGCTCTGGTGGAATCCATTTTTTTCTTTATTCGATAGGCCAAAGTGCAGCGCCATTGAATATAAATGCGTTCAGAAGCAGTGTTAGATTTTAAAAATATCTCAACAATTTGCTAATCTTTTGCCAATCTACCGCTACGAATGAAAAGTCAAATAAATTTAAAAGTGATCTTCGATACAAACATTCTATTATTTGTTAAAACACGTTCGTAAAAGAGAGGTTAAGAGTGGGTTGCGCTTAGTATAACGGAAATGTGATATTTAACACTTGAATAAATTATATTTTAATATTTGCTGGGAAATCCATCCCAAAAAATGTGAAAATATGATCATCTACATAGAAATGTCCAGATTTCCCGCATTTGTCGAACATTTTCAAAATGGCTGAAAGTTATATGTTTAACTCTCCGAGCCCCACACCTATATCATACTTTTCACTATTTGTGTAATATCTTCGGTAAATTTTATTGTATTTTTTATGTTGTTATCTTGTTGGAAAGGGTATATTCTCGGGTATATTTATGTTACGTTTTGATAGTTTGATTGAGCATAGCACAATTTTTTTGGTTTTTCAGTTTTTGTCGAGTCGGTAGACATGTCGTTTCAGCAAGTTGAAGTTGATCTTGGTTGATCGGTTTCTCAATGTGATTGGTGAGGCGGAAGGAAACAAGTCAGCTCTTTCACTATCACGACGTTCTTATGTATAATCTAGTGTGACGTAACGTTGGACCATGCGTAACAACACCGTGAGAACGAAAGAGTCGACTACATTCCTTCTGCCGCACCTATAGTAACGCACACGGTTCCCGCGCTGACTGTTCCTTACTTTCTCACTCTAATCAAAATTTCCTTCGATGAGTGAGAAAACAGCACCCCGTCAACGCGAGCAAGAACTCGAGTTGCCAGATCATTGCACACAAAAGCAACTTGAATTAATTCAAAACGAAAATACTAGCGAACCTGGCGGTGAGGGGCGGAAGGTGGACTAAAATTCTATTACAGATAACCACATTATTTTAATTAATTTCTTCGGAGTAAGTCGTCTGTCACTTCGTTTGTGCTAGAAGGTCCCGAAATAACGTGCTCAACTTTTTGGCTCAGCTCTGGTACCATAGAGGTAACTCTAAGACCACTGGGTCCCGAAGAAAATCATTATTATTTTTGGCTCACTCAGTACCAGAACAACGGTCCCAAGCAGTCCCAAGCTATTTCACTCACCCCTGCATGTTCTGCATGAATCCACACACCCCTGATGTTATCTGTCAAACTTTCATAGCGAATCAAAACAAACATAGTGTAGTAATAGAATTTCAACTAGAATAGGGTACGTTAATCGTTTGCTTGGGACCAATAGGCTACTAAAGTGGTGAGCCAATTTAAAATCGTTAGTTTCGTATTGATTGTTGCTGGTACTCTCTTCGGTCCCAAGCTAATCGATTCACCCCTCGAAACATAGGAAAAACCAATAACCCCTCATTTTATCTGTCAAACTTTCATATCGAATCAAAAAAAACATTGCGTAGTACTAGAATTTCGACTAGAATAGGGTACGTTAATCGTTTGCTTGGGACCAATAGGGCCAATTTAAAATCGTTAGTTTCATATTGATTGTTGGTTATATACCAAGCACTTGTTTGAACATTTTTCAGGTTCTATAATCGTTTTAGCCTCGCAGAAGCTCCGTTATCGACATGAAATTTTTCACTTCTCAATGAAAGTCATCCGATGCTAACGCAAAAAATCTGGTTACCGTTTACTCTGACGAAAAATAAATCCCAAACAGTGCTGCTTGTTCGCAATATTTTCTCTTGGACTCTTATTATAACATCGACTCTGGTGTTTTACTTCTTTGACGACAGGCCGACGATTTTCCGTAAAAATTGCATTTATCGTGTTACGTAATATTTGAACGGAAACTGTTATAATTTTAAGCCTTTGATTATTTACATCCCTGCATAAACTTGAAAACTGTCAAAATTAATGATAAAAATAATTTGGAAAATACACAGTGGATATTCGAGTGGTGTTGATCGTAGAAATATAAAATTGGTGAAAAACCACAGATTATGCTTGGAAATGATCGTTTTTCTTTCCAAAAAACGGTGCATTGCTTAGCACGAGTGCTTGCCCGTATAAAACCGACACCATGGGATAAGGTGAGACTAGATTTTGTACCTTAATTAGTGTCGCAAGAAAATGACTAATGATTATCAAATTTTTCTTACTTGAAAATTCAAGGTTCAAACATTGTTCAGATACTGTCCACAGGAAAATGCAGCCGGAGTATTCTGTCTGGATTCCAGAGCTCAGGATGCTGTTATTGCCCTGGGCCTCTATTTCCTGGAAAGTGGCTATCAGTACGAGAAGGAAATTATCCCGTATCTACTAAGGCTTTCGAAAGCCTTGCCCAAAGCCGTATGGATCGATGACGTCAAGCTGAACAAAATCGATAGTAAGTGGTTGTTTTTGATTTTCCTTTCGATGCAGCAGAGTTTATTCCACAATGTTTCCCTTGAGACACATTGATCTTGAGAGATGTATTAAAGCGTTTTTGTGCGTGTCTTTCAGAAATTCCTATCGCGGAAAAGTTTTGTTTCTGCTTGAACAGCTTGCTCTCAGACATCGCCGTTGGATGCCCGGAAAGTCGTGATGAAATCATTGTCAATCAGGTTGAGGTGTTGACCGTTCTGACGAACATGATAAAAGGTAACAGGGAAAGCAATAGCCTACCACCGATTATACTGTGTAAAGCCACGGTTCCACTCTTGCTTGGATTGGGACGTTCCATGGGGAGGTATGCGACCGGTGATCCCCCATTGCTGTGTCGTCTGTTTCCCCGAAATGAAATACCATCACCGAAATCGCAGGAAACATCACTCAACGTCGATTCCAAGTCGAGCAATACCATAAGCCATTTCAGGTCCATCATCCCAAGATCGATGTCCGGTAGCTTAACGGCCGAGTTGACCGAAGAAAAATCACCCAAAAATAACGCCAAGAAACTGAACTCCTATTATTCGGTCCCGTACGATCCGACGACGTACTTCTTTGCCAAGTATGGGTCCAGCTTCAACCAGTTTCCCAACATGCGTTTCTGTGATACACCAGAGAAGAAAAATCGTCTTCAGTTTCCGATTAATCATCTGCAGACTATATTTGCGCTTGCGAAAAAGCTTCTTACCAAAGAGACCTTGGAACACTTGGATGAACAGGCGGGTGATATTTATTCACTGCATCAAATCAAACCATATGGATACAAGAGTGTCTCAGAAACAATAAATCTGGTTATGGTCACTCTGCTGAGGGAGATTTTACAGAACCAGACAGGTTGGTGTTTAATGGTTGATATCTGGGAGATTTTTATTATTTTTTTTTTTTTGTTTTCAGATCTTCCGACACCATTTACCAAAGATGTACAGGAATTTGTAAAACGTCTATTTTTGATCGGACAAACTGAATTGCAGAACAAGCAGCACGACAGCACGGTGGACAAGGTGAATGATCCATCCAACATAGTTGTCAACAAGTACAAGATTAATGTGATGGCAAATGCGGCCTGTGTCGATTTGTTGGTGTGGGCTATCGGTGATGAAACAGGTGAATATGGTTACTCTCATGACAGACACTTTTCACATAGCAAGTTCTGCGATCTTTATATCATTTTGGTTGAAACGAAGTTGGTGTCTATTTTTTATTCCATGGGAATCTTTTCGATACGCAATGTAAATAAATGTCAATTAGGGTATTACATTTCTACAGAAAACAAAGGATACTTTGGCTAGTTGAGCACATGTATTATACTATTATACACATTAATATCTATTATTTTGATATGTTACTACATTTTGTTATTATTTCAACCTCTTTTTTTTCTATTACGTTTTTCTATCTATATCAATTACAGTGGATGATGACTATACTCTATCTTCACTGCAACAGAGTTTGTCTTGTTTGCTGGAGCTAGGTGATAGTGTTTTCAGTTTGTTCAACTTTCCCCGTGATGAGGATTCCCTCCTGTTACCGATTGGTTGTTCCTTTTTTCGTTATATTTGACCTTTTCGAATGATTTGATTCTCTGTTGACGTGTTTATCTGTCCCCTACAGTTTGGCTTTAGCTGCTTCGGTTTGCTTTTCTTGATTATCGCAATTCGCTTAAAAATTTCCTAGTTTTTGTTTTGGAGCGTTGTCAATGCTTATTTGTTTTAAATGTGCATATCATGTTCCATTGCAGAGGCCGATAAACTTTGTAGTCGCCTATACCAAAAACTAAACTCAGTGCTAGGACACAAAGTGGTTATGGATCATATGCCGTTGTTGATGGTTTGCCTAGAGGTAAATTAAATTTCCAGTCGCGAAAAATATGTTCTTACAATAATAAACTAAAATTTTCCGACAGGGCTTGGGTAAGTTAGCACAAAAGTTCCCAAACATTGCCGGAACATCAATTTCGTATTTGCGAGATTTTCTCGTCGATCCAAGTCCCATTCTGACGAAGCTTCACGCTCAGTCCCAAGCGCAGAATAAGAAGGAAAAGGAGAACGCCCCCTTCAGAATTGTTGGTAAGCTTTTATACTTTATTAGGTATACTGTGTTAGTCATCTAAAAACGAGCAATATTCTAGTTCAAGGTTCTGACTTCAAAGCATTTGACCAGCAACCGAATCAACGGAAGGGTCTCACCAAATCAGCTCACGACGCTTTTGAAGCACTGAGGGATGCCGCTATTGAGAACCTTTCCATCGCCCTCAAGGCCGCGCACGCACTGGATCCCTATTGCGTTCCAGCCTTGGTGGCCAACGTATCGAATCGATTGTTCACAGTAGAAAAGCAGGAAAGCGAATCCAGTCTAGTTTCGTTGAATATAATTGTCATGCTGGGTCACGTAGCGGTTGCCTTGAAAGACACTCCGAAAACAACCAACAACATTCTACAGTTCTTCATTCAGCGTTTCTGCAAGGTACCTTCGGAACAAAATGTGCTTATCGTGGACCAGCTAGGATGTATGATCATCTCCAAGTGCGAACCGCAAGTCTTTGAGGAAATTATGAAGATGTTTTCGCGGGTGACGGTGCAAGCGGCATCCTTGGCTTATTCCACCAACCCGGAACAGAGGTAAGGCGAATCGGTTTTCTTTGTAAACACCATTTTCTATTTTTTTTTTTAATTTCTGTTTATCGCTCAGTTTTCGTTTCTTTGCTTTCGTTATGGTCCTTTTATTCCTGTTTTTATTTTAAGCTGGCAGAAAGTTCCTAATATATTACCGTGAATTTTTCTAGGCTACAACGGTGGCACATCTCTAGATTCTTGTAAATAGATCTGAATAACATATGTATACTGCATACACACTAAGAAATTATTAGCGACTTCGGTCAGTTTTACCGAAGTTTAAACAGTTGAACTGTTCGATAAAAATCAGGCATTTTTATTCATTAGTTTTAAAGCTTCAAAACAAGGAAAACGAAGCGAAGGCTTGATTATTTAAACAAGGCTGCCGTGTATAGAAATAAAAATTTAGTGTACCAGCTTTTTAAATGAGGATCAAAGTTTTACCGAAAGTGCAGCTGATGAAAGTTCGCTAAAAATAACCGAATTCGTTAATAATTTCTAAGTGTGATACTATGTTTTGATTGTTTTGTGGATATCATCTATGCTAATAACTGATTCATGTTTTCATGTTGCGATTTTTTTTTCTAATATTTTTTTCAAATTTTTCACACGACCACGAAAGAGAGTCACTTTAACTCAGTTGTATGAGAAATTTCTAAGTAAGCGTAAGTTGCCAAGCGCTAAGTGCTCTGCGTTTTTAGAAATGTCTCATACAGCTGAGTAAAAGTGACTGCCGGCTTTTCGGCAATTTTGAGGTTTTAATGCTTAACGCCATAATTTGATATGTACTTTTGATATATTACATAAACTGTCGGTGGATGCATAACTGTCCAATTAGGGTGCTTCATTTTAAAACAAATCAGTGCCAACATTTCAAAGGGGCGTAATTGCTTTTGTAAACAATGACTTTAGCCGTCAATTTCTCGTGAATGAAATCTTACCTATCCAAAATAACAATGCTAGCTGGTAGAGGAGACATTCCTCTACCTGCTGGTGTTATTATTTTTCATCAGTGAGCTTTTATTCGCGAGAAATCGACGGCTAAAGCCATTGTTTACAAATGCAATTACGCCCCTTTGAAATGTTGGCACTGAAATGTTAAATTTCTTATACTGCCCCTAAAAGCATAACAGTCACATGTTTGCTTGATTTCCTATTCAAATGGGACTGTTATGCGTTCATGGGTAGTATAGGCCACCCTTCACTTCGATTCATAACTCCAAAATAAGAGCCTGTGCAAAAAATGGTAAAGATTGATGAAGGTTTAGAGGTCGCGGATATGGTTTGAAATTTGTATGGGTTTTTTTTTAATTACTTATATCGCCCTTACTACTCATAATCGCAAAAAGTTTAAGAACTCAGCGATGAGCAAATTTGCCTCACGTTTTCCTGTAGAAAACCTTTTAAATCTGCCGGAAAATGAGATAAATTGACGAAAATGTTATTCATTCTAGGAGTAGTTGCAATAGACTGAAAGAATCCAATCTTTCCTTTTCTCATATTTGAGTTTTCTTCTTTTTTTTTTTAAAGCCTTGAAAACCTGGAAAAACATGAGGCAAATTTACTCATCGCTGATTTCCTACACTTTTTGTATTCTATGAGTAAATTAAACTCAAATTTGGGTTGATCTCATTGGCCGTGTATTTCACTAGGTTAATTCAACTTCCGAGGTCATGTCATAATCTTTAGTATTAATGGCTGATTAGCACTCGCAGGGAAAAATGGAAATTCTAAGGGAATTTGAAAGAATGTGAGCTAAGGACACAAGTATCCGGCGGTCTGATCACTAATCGAGGTAACGTAATTTGGGAAATGTATGGCCAATTCAGTGCAGGTTGATATATTTCCAATATTCTAACTACACATTTTTTTATTGGGATTTCATTCTTTGTAAAAGTTTTAAGAGATGGAGGCGCGGAGGGACCACTTAGGGGAAACATAATATGGTTTATTGCTTCCTATTTTGGAACGGTTTAGATGGGCTAGGAGTGGAGGTTTACGCTTTTGAGTTTTTCTTATATAATTTTCATGATTTTCATGTGCTATGACTTACTTTGGAGGATTTACATAGGTCCCAAGCTAATCGATTCACCCAAAACATAGGAAAATCCACGAAGCCCTCATTTTTTCTGTCAAACTTTCATAGCGAATCAAAACAAACATTGTGTAGCACTAGAATTTTGACTAGAATGGGGTACGTTATTCGATTTGCTTGGGACCAATAGGCTAGTCAAGTAGTGAGCCAATTTAAAATCGTTAGTTTCGTATTGATTGTTGGTAGTAGCATAGAGGTAACTCTAAGACTAGTAGGTCCCGAAGAAAGGAGCTCTACTTTTTGGCTCAGCTCTGGTACTCTCTTCGGTCCCAAGCTAATCGATTCACCTCTATGCTTTCACTAAGTGGGCTATGGGTTTAGTCCAACGAGCCAAAGTTGACTGTACCTGTGGCTCGACCTGTGATCTGTGTTGGAAAGCTCATTTTCAAAAAAAAAGTTCGTTTGCTGTTCTTCAGAGAATCAGCTCACTATGCAAAAATCGCGAACGTGATGGGAATAAAAGTTCCCGAACGAAATGTGCGAAACAGTGCAGCAAACGATTTCGAAAGAGAATTCCGTTTTCGCTCTCTCAACCTACCTATTTCACAAAAAAAAAAAAAAAAAAAAAAAAACGAGAAACGAGAAACGAGCTAGTTGAATTTTTTGTCTCCTATGTTATGTTTCGCCGGAAAGTAATATGAAATCCTCTCGCTGAAATTCTATCACTCTGCTGATGTTTTCTTTTTGTATAGGTATTAGGTTTTATGATATTTTAGTTGCATACATGTAGGAGTAACCCGTGCGTTATTATCTCGCTGGTGAGTCAAAGCGGGAGTGATATTAGTTCCTCTCAATCTTCTCAAGCAAGAAAGTTCGCTCGTGAAATAACGCTTTGTGAAATTCAAATTATGGCGTTAAGCATTGAAACTTCCAAATAATGATAGGCAGCCAAAGCAGCCCACGGTTCGGTACATAGTCAATTGCACCTGCCCTGGTCTCGTCGATTACGATAAACATCCTTGCCTCACACCTGCGACTACCCGGATAGGGTCGGACAAGGCTCCGTTATGCAGGACTCAACATGTGAAAGCCTCGTACTGCGCTTCGATTAGGTCTCCTTTGCGTCTCAGGGCGTCCCGCAGATTTTCGTGATTGCCGGTTGAAATTTTTTCCGTAACCAAAGAATATCAAATAGAGGTATCCTTGGAATTCGTCGACCTACTCCAGCATGATGCGGAGCGTGACAATATGGTCCACACAAGATCTTGCGGCACGGAATCCTGTCTGCTGCCGCCGGAGAGTCGCATCGATCTTCTCCTGTATCCGGTACATGATAACTTTGTCAGAACTTTGTGATCAACACACAGTATCATAAACAATCAATACGAAACTATCGATTTGAAATTGGCTTACTTTTTTTTTATATTATAGTCACTTTAACACTCTTGGGTCATTCGTGACTTGTCCGGGGGTGAGATTTGAACTCGTGACTTTGGCGTGAGAGGTAAGGATGTTAACCACTACGCCGGGGTCGCCCCCCGTCATTGGCTCACTACTTGACCAGCCTATTGGTCCCAAGCAAACGATTAACGTATCCCATTCTAGTCGGAATTCTAGTTCTACACTATGTTTGTTTTGATTCTCTATGAAAGTTTGACAGATAAAATGAGGGGTTCGTGGATTTTCCAATGTTTCGAGGGGTGCATCGATTAGCTTGGGACGGAAGATAGTACCAGAGCTGAGCCAAAAAGTTGAGCACGTTTCTTCGGGATCTATTAGTCTTAGAGTTACCTCTATGGTATCATGATGCCTCGCTAATTTTCGCACACAGTCAGAACCCCTTTCTTAGGGACCTTCACTAAAATGCCCTGCATATGCGGTGTCCTAGATATTACAGAATATTTTATGCAACATTTGTGTAAATAGCATTGGCATTGGGATAGCTTTGAACATCTATGCTGATATGCGATTGACCTCGAGAGCCTTGTTGGATATCATTCTTCGGATAGCTGCTTCAATCTCCTGCAGTGATGGGGGCTCGGAGTTGACGCGAGTGATGCGTCATAAACTTGGCCAATTTGGTCCTAGACGCCCAACAAGTCCATAATTGATGTTATTTTTAAATTGTAATGTGACCATCATGTCACATGCTGAGTTTAACACGTTTCAGGCCGATTCTAGACACAACCCGTATTCACCGGAACATGGTTCGGCTATATTTTCGGAACCAGTTGAGCGATATATACGTATATTCAATAGCGTACTCAATAGAAGTACAATACCTTTCATTTGACGATTGTTGCATCCAATTCACTTCAAGCAGAAGGTCATCATTGACGGACTCTTCGCGGTGCACGACCCAACGATCTGGCCATCTACACCGTACGGTGAGGAAGAGGGAGACAATACCGTAAGTATACAAGTCTCAAAAGCGCCCGGTCCGAATGGAATCTCTATATGCTTGCTAGATACACTCGAAAAAATCTTGGAAATGATTATGCTCAACTGGCTGACGAAATGTACGGAGAGTGAGCATGGATTGTCGAAGATGTTATTCGGATTCCGGAAATGGAGATCTACGGTGGATCAAATTCAGATAATGATCGAGAGAGCCAAACAAAAACGTCAATAGCGCATTCAATAGAGCCAGGTGGGTAGCCGTCGCCGAAGCGCTGCACAGAATAAGGGCCCCTGACTACATGTATAGGATTCTGAGGAGTAATTTCCAGAATCAGGTTCTGGTCTACAAGACAAACATGGTACAGATATCGTTAAGGATCACGGCGGGAGTTCCACAAGTCTCCATCCTCGATCTAACGCTTTGGAATGGGATATAGCTGTCCAAAGGGGTTGTTTTATTAGACTAGACTATGCTGTTGTTGGAATTGTTGGTGACCAAGGCGATTTGCAAGGAGCTGTAGATAGTCAACTACAAAACGGAAGTTCTATTGGACAGCAGGCAGAAATCACTGTCAGCATGTCATAAGCTCGAAGCGCATGCTGAAATACCTGTGAGCGATGACCAGCTAAACTTCAACAGCCACGTCGACCTCGAGAAGGCGGTTAAGGCCATCAACGTGATAGGTAGAATCATGCCAAACAAATCTGGACTAAGCGGAAGCGAGAAGCGTCTTCTGGCTAGTGTATCTTCGTCAATGGTGAGGTCCAGCTTGGGATACAGCGCAGGAAATTAAGCGGAATCAATCGAAGTTGAACAGTACGTTCAGGCGCATGGTAATACAGGTCTAGAGCGCGTACATAACCATCTTATCGGAAGCAGTATACGTCATCGCCGGAATGATCCCTTTCGGCATCATATTAGCGGAGGACAGCGATTGCTACAAGCGGAAGGAAACCAGAGGAGTACGGAAATTATGAGAAGGGAGTCGATGACCAAACACCGGAGCACGTGGTCTTGGACTGTCCTAGATTTGAAGCAGTGCGAAGAAAAATGCCTGCCCTTAATGCGGAGCATTTTGTTTTTCTTGATTTGTTTTCCGACGATCTTGTTTTCCGTACTGAGTACCAATACTACCGACGCCAGGGAGGCAGCTCCCACAACTGGACCCTATCTATCGATCCATCAACTCATGTACCGGGGGGCTAACGGCTTTACATTCCTTACACCACCGACGCCGCTAATGCGGAGAATGTCGTCGATGAAGTGTGTCGAGAGGAAGGCACCTGGAATGCTGTCAGCAGGGCAATCACTCAAATTCTGTCGGAGCTGCAACGTAAGTGGAGAGACGATCAGCGAGCTAGCAACGACATCTCGCGTTGAGATTAAGAGAAGTACATGAGCACAGCCCTCTCCCCCATCTGACCGGCTACCTTAGCTAGCGCTGAACGGCCAGTTGAAATTGTTTGCATCCAGAAGCAGTAAATAATTTAGTTTTTCTACATCAAAATAGAGAATTTTTATTAGAAAACCTAGGGAACTAATTAAGAGTTGCATGAAAAATACAAGTATTTAATTATTTAATATTGATTTAATATAATAATATTAGTTTCATTATTTCACCAATATTAATTACACTATCCGATACTATTAAAAATCCGGATATTGTGTAAATTTTTATCCGAATATCCGGTTGATCTGGATTTTGGATACCTACTGGATATCCGGATAGTCCCAGCACTAATCTTTATTCTACCAAATGCATGCTCCATCTGTTTTCCGACATGATTATTTGCCCGATAGCAGCTCCAGCGATCTACCATACCTACTCCACGTGTATCCTCATCACAATCGCAGAGACGTTGTAAATAATACACTTCAGCAATGTCTTCTTCTTTATTCCTGAAAACCTTCCCATCTGCATAGTTTGTACCCTGTGTTCTTGGAAAGCGTAACGTCCAAGGTTTTTTCTAATTGATTTTTTTTCTCTATATCTACTCCCCAACCAACGACACACTCATCTCACACATACACAAAACAAATTCACACACGAACTCCGGAACCCTTTCCCGCTTTGGTTGGCTTAAATTCAAAAGTGTTTACAGGAAATCCTACCACCACGTGTCGGATGCAGTGGTCAATGCGTTGGCCAACATTGCCGCCAATATCCAAGGAGAGTTGGAGATGTTGGATTTGCTCGGAAAGCTGTTGGAATTGTTTGTACAAATCGGTCTAGAAGGTGAGCGTTCGTACGATAGCACCTCCGGTGCACAGAAGGCCAGTTCCAGCGCTGGAAATTTGGGTATGCTGATTCCTGTGATTGCGGTAAGATTTGTTTGGCTATTTTGAAAAGATTTGGAAAACTAAGGCGAAGTTTCGTTAAATGTAGGTTCTTGTGAGACGTCTACCGCCGATCAAGAATCCAAAGCAACGACTTCATAAGCTGTTCAAAGACTTTTGGTTGTACTGTGTAGTAATGGGCTTCACCAATGCTCGATTGTGGCCATCGGATTGGTATCAGGGAGTTCAGCAGATTGCGGCGAAGTCACCGTTGTTGATATCACAAATAGCTCACCGGTCAGAGATGCGTGAAATGAACTACACTTCTGCTATTCGTTCAGACAGTGTCAGTTTGAACGAACTTAGAAGTCAAATTTTGGTTTTGTTGGATCATCCACCGGCCGAAATAACTGCATTCATAAATAAACTCACCTTTGCCCAATGTACGTACCTGTTGAGTGTATATTGGCTGGAAATTTTGCGTGTTGAAAATGCTTCTGAGCCCAGCTTAGAACCAATACTGAATTATCTTTGTGATAACGCTCTTCTGAAGGATAAGTACGGCATGTGGCAATGTATACGATGTATTGGCGATCAAGTCTTCGAAAAGTTTCGAAGTGTGCTCCTGGCACAGGATTCCGTCCGCGAGAAGGTTCTGGAATCACAAGCTATGCTGTTGTTGGTATATTTCAATCACATTCATAAGCAAATTCAGCTTGTAGCTGATCAGTACTTGTCTCAGTTGGTTGACAAATTTCCACATTTACTCTGGAATCGTAAAGTACTTTGGTGTATGCTAGACGTCCTTCAACTTCTAGCCTTTTCACTGACACTCGATCCGAATGAAGAAACTCCAACGTTGAGAGTCGCTTCGACGCCCTACACTCTACAGCTGATGGATAGCCTACCGGCCAGAGAAAGTCGTGTCAAGGACTTTGCCGATCGTTGTCAAGGTATTGTTAGCGAAGCCATGAAGTGGGCCCCAAAGTCCACCAGAAGTCATCTCCAAGAGTACCCTAATCAGGTACCTACGACAACCCTATCGAATCACAGTGGATTAGCCCTGGCTGTCGATTCCATTCTACACACATGGGTGACAAATGCCAGCATACAATCTACGTCGAAACGACCGCATTGCGTCAACAGTGACACGTCCAAGTTCGTGTCGGTACTATGCTTGCGTAGCAAATACGCAGGAGAAATATCCGGATTGTTATCAGTATTGGAAGATGAGGAAAAGAAGGGCTTAGCTGATCGTTTGGTGAAAGATATCTGGGACGCTTGTGGTGAGAAGAGCGATGCCAAGCATCGTGGTGCCCTTTGGAGAGCTACGGCATATCTGATCCTTTGTTCCAGTGCTAATAGAAAGTTACTGCATGCCATATCATCATCGCAAGTACAACTTTTTACAGAATCTGCCATGGAAACGGCAGTAGAGTGTTGGCAATGGATTCTTACTGCTCGACAGGACCTTGAACTATGCTTCATTCAAGAGATGGTAACTGCTTGGCAGACAACTTTCGACAAAAGGATAGGATTGTTTACGGAAGAAATTGACATCACCAGTCCTCTGGCGGCATACGAAAGTTGCAAGCTGGTTCCCAAACCCATAGTCGTGTCGCCACATTTAATTTGGTTACAGCTGCTTTCTGAGATGGTTGATACGGCCAAATATTGCAATCGTGATAAGGTTGAAATGTTCTGCATGCTGCTACATCGTTGTCTTCCATTAAGTCCATTCAAAATGACCAGACACATCTCCACTGTTGGTTGCCGTTTCAAGCTTCTCCAGTGCGGATTGTCCCTTCTCCAAGGGAATACAATTCCCAAATCACTGGCTCGAAATATCTTGAGAGAACGGATCTACGCCAATGCCTTGGATTACTTCTGTGGACCACAACTTTGTCCAAGTCATTCCAGAGAAGCTCTACTGGAGGATATATCCATTTTACTCAAATTTTGGCAAACGATGAGAAGTGAGAAGAAACACTTGGTCGCTTCGGAAGTTAGCGACTACGACTTGAACCCAACGTCTCAGAATCTGTCTGTAAACAAATCATTGGATACAGCTTCCCTTGCCGGAAGCGAAGTAGCTCGTTCCACTAGTAGTGGAAACGCTGGGTGGTACAACACTATTCCTCATTCAACTTCAACCCTGTCCAAACGATCGACTCGCATCAAGCGTCCACCCTATCAGAAGGATGCTTATGACAAAGATTACATGAAGAAACGAAACCTAATTCTGGAACTACTAGCCGTTGAAATTGAGTTCATGATCATTTGGGCTAATCCGCTTTCAACCCCGGAGCTACAGATAGCCGGCGAAGAGTCTGTTGCAGAATGGCGAGCTCGTCCAGTAAAGTTGAACGTTTGGCGTGACTACACTCGACTTGCCTGGTCGTATAATCCCGCATTGGCCATTTTCCTGCCGCAACGTATACGAAATGCTGAAACCATTGAAGACGAAGTCACTCGTCTGGTTTGTTTGGATCCTCTTGCAGCAATTCACATTCCGGAAGCACTGAAGTATCTCGTCACCACAAGAACGCTACTCAATGAATCTCCGGAACTGGTTTACATGCTGACCTGGGCCCGTGTGAATCCCATTCAAGCGTTGTCTTATTTCTCCCGTCAATATCCAACCCATCCACTAACTGCACAGTACGCCGTTACGACCTTGAACTCGTATCCTGCTGAAGCCGTTCTTCCGTACATTCCACAATTGGTCCAAGCATTGCGACATGATACGGTGCGTAGCTACTTACATTCTTATCAATTTATTCTCACTTAATTAATATAACATGAAATAACTATTACAGATGGGATATGTGGTAGAATTCATCAAGCATATCTCAAAACGATCTCAGATTGTTGCTCATCAACTCATTTGGAATATGCAAACCAACATGTACATCGACGAGGAAATGCATCACAAAGACCGTAAGTGTCCAAACCCTTTGTTCGTTGAAGTTTTACATTCAACCATCCTTAATTTGTCAATAGCTGTTCTATATGATGGTCTGGAAGCGTTGTCGCAGAACATAATCGCATCCCTGTCTGGGCCTGCAAAGCGATTCTATGAGCGTGAATTCGACTTCTTCGGCAAAATCACAGGTAGCATTTGAGAACATCCATTTATTTTTATCGAAATCGACCTTAACATACCTTGTCGCATTACAGCCGTCAGCGGAGAGATCCGTTCCTTCCCCAAAGGTCAGGCTCGAAAGAAGGCCTGTTTGGATGCGCTCAGTCGAATCAAGGTACAGGCCGGATGCTATTTACCCTCCAATCCGGAAGCCATGGTACTTGATATTGACTACAACAGTGGTACTCCGATGCAAAGCGCAGCTAAAGCTCCATACCTGGCACGGTTCCGGGTGCATCGCTGTGGAATCAACGAGCTAGAAACAATGGCTATGGAAGTGTCCAACAATCCCAACAATCAGCTCGACGGGCCGAAGCTAAGTTCGATGGGACCGGAAACCTGGCAGGCTGCGATCTTCAAAGTTGGTGATGACGTACGTCAGGATATGTTAGCGCTACAAGTAATCTCCATTTTCAAGAACATTTTCCAACAAGTTGGCCTCGAGCTGTTCCTTTTCCCATATCGAGTTGTTGCCACTGCTCCAGGGGTATGTGAATTCAGTAAAAAATCTATGAGCATTATTAATTTTTCTTCTCAATTCAAATAGTGTGGCGTAATTGAATGCGTACCGAATGCAAAGTCACGTGATCAACTCGGACGGCAAACCGACTCTGGCTTGTATGAGTACTTCCTGCATCAATATGGCGATGAAACATCGAAGGAATTCCAAGCAGCTCGTAGCAACTTTGTGAAATCAATGGCTGCCTATTCGGTTATTGGATATTTACTGCAAATTAAAGATCGTCACAACGGAAACATTATGATCGACAAAGATGGGCATATTATTCATATCGGTATGCATCTGTTTACTTTGCCTTACTTGCCTATTTTGATTCATTTTTCAATAATACTTCCAGATTTTGGTTTCATGTTTGAATCGTCTCCCGGAGGCAACATTGGCTTCGAACCCGATCTCAAACTTACGGACGAAATGGTAATGATAATGGGTGGAAAGATGGAAGCAGCACCTTTCAAATGGTTCTGCGATCTGTGTGCCCAGTCGTTCCTCGCCATTCGCCCATATCAGGATGCAATAGTAACACTAGTTTCTCTGATGCTGGACACGGGATTACCCTGCTTCCGGGGGCAAACCATTACGTTACTGAAGCAAAGATTTGTGCCAACTAAGAATAACAAGGAAGCAGCCGCTCACATGCTGGCTGTCATTAGGAATTCATATCAAAATTTCCGCACAAGGACCTATGATATGATCCAGTATTATCAAAATCAGATCCCATATTAAAAAGTTTGGCATATAATAGTAGTGGCTGCACGGTAAAAGACTTGACAAAAGTATTCGGTAACATGTTGACAAAGTCATTTTTAAAGGTGGATGGACAAATTTCGGGCATTCGACGCGGGGTCAGGTTTAGGGATTGCATTGTGTAATTTATTTATTCCGGACAAAAGCTTGTAGATGTGGTATATGTGATTATAAATATAGTCAAAGTTAATCTAATTGTTAAATATTTGTTGAATGGTATTATACTAAATTAAATATCAATGGTAAAAGGAAATTGCTGCTACAATCTGAACTACTAAGAAAAGAAATTCCTAAGGGCGTTTGTCAGGCATCTACACTGAAACAAACCAACGTGTACAGAATGTCTCATAGGGTAGTTGTATTATTATGGGGTGAACTAATGTTTGACCTATTTGTATAAAAATGGTAAAAATCTACATTTTTTACAAATAAAATAAGATTCGCCTATCTTTCTTTATGGATGTGATGTTTTGTAAAAAAAAACTTCGTATTTCGTTTTAAACAGAATGTTTTGATGATTTTTTACTTGTATATTGGTGCATGTCGGTCCCATAGTCGTTTTTGACAAACTGAGTTTTTCAATGCAGATGGTAGCTACTTACCTTTCCAATCAGGCTAACCCTAATAAACAAATACCATAAACGAACTGTATCCCGGATTGGTAAACTATCCCACAAATGGTTTGGATTATACCCCGAACACGTCGTTAAGCTCTCTTTTATGGTTATTTTTTATTAGGGAAGGCCTTGTTGTCCTCTGCTGTCCGTAGAAGTCATCTCCACTCTACGACGATGCATGGTTCCCCAGTAGCTGGTGCAATTCGTGGTTCATTCGCCTTCTCCACGTTCCGTCATCCATCTGCACTCCACCGTAGATGATACGCAACACCTTCCGTTTGAAAACACCAAGGGCGCGTTGGTCCTCCACGAGCATAGTCCAGGTCTCGTGGCCGTAGAGGACCACCGGTCTAATCAGCGTCTTGTAGACAGTCAACTTCGTGCGGCGGCAAATTTTATTCGACCGGAGCGCCCTCCGGAGTCCAAAGTAGGCACGGTTCCCTGCCATAATGCGTCTTTGGATTTCTCTGCTGGTATTATTTTCGGCAGTCACCAGTGAGCCCAAATACACGAACTCATCGCCGGCGCCGGTGGTGTAGTGGTAAGCGTGACTGCTTTCTAACACCCCAATGGATCTGGGTTCAATCCCAGGCGAGGTCGGTGGGATTTTTCTGAGGCATAATAATCTCTGGTCACGTCTTCCTTCGGAAGAGAAGTAAAGCCGTTGGTCCCGGCCCATGTATGTTGTGAATGGGTGCGATATCCTACGCAGGTGTGGAAGCTGCCTTCCTGCACATTCGGTTGCCGTCAATGGATGGCAATCGATGTCCGTCGGTGATTGGCACTAGATTGCGGAACAGAGACCGACGTTAAATAAAGGAACACTTTATAGTCAAAATTGAGTCCTTTATAGTCATTTTTGCGTATTTTACGGTTTCCGTGTACGAATCAAACTTACACACTTAAATTTTTTCGCCGAGGTTCCAATAGCCGAGTAGTTCTGCAATTTATTTTGCTGAGATTCAGTAAAACAATTGCCGATACTCGTAAAGTATGAGCGATGCTCCCAAGTGTGATCCATGGCTGATTACCAGCTTTACTACAGTCAACTCTCGCTTACTCGATATTTTTTGTTTCGATATTTTCCTCTACTCGATGTCTCCATAACTCGATGTGTTGGGTTCATTTCCTCATGTATTTTTACCTCCCTAATAAATTTTTTTGATATTTTACACCATCTACAGACATGATTGTAGCATTGTACTCCTTTAATCTAGTACGTCGTTTGTGGTACTAGAATAAAGGAGTACAACGGTACTACAATCATGTCATGTTGAAGCTTGCATGTTTTTTATATGATCGAAAAATATGGCAACTCAAAAAGCAGAACTGTAACTTTTCCTTTTGACGATTGAGGATCCGATTGCTTAATGGGACAAACTGACTTGATGTTGTTTTTACATTTTTCATGATCGAAGTCCATGATAATATGAAAGTTAGATGCCAATTGATAGTGGATAGCGTTGTTATAGCAAAATTGTCGAAAATCCATATGGGACTTATATGCGATTATAGGCAGTATAGTCGCTATATCTATAGTCTGGTGGATAGAATATCGGGAACAAATTTGAGCCGTCAAATAGCTCGCCTATACAAAACAACACCATCATCGGGTTAGGGAATTTCCCCTATCCGATGATGCAGTTAATTTGCATTCGGTTGGCGAGGAAAGAGCTATCAAAGTTTAGTTTATAAAAGTTGATAGTACCTTTTCAATTGCTGGTCTCCAGACTATACATATAGCGACAGCGACTATAGTTTCAACCTGATGGGGGCTCAGTTGAGACAACCAATGGCGGTTATAATATGAGTAGGGACCTATTGGGGTGACATCTTAATATTTAGATTGAAGAAACTTACCAACACAAAGACTTTCGGTGAAATGGCATTCGGCCAAATTTTCCATAGTTATTTTTTTTTGCTTCTCCCTAGCTCGAAACCTGGCTACGCCCTTGACAGTGCACCCAATTCCCAATTTTCTTCCTTCAAGGACGACATGGTTGTTCGGATATATGTACAAGTAAACAACTCCCCTGTGATGTACACCGAACAAGTGATATTTGTGTTTCCAAAATATAATGGTTTGCGTAAAAAACTTACAAATTAGATTTGCACTAACATGGGAAACATAAAATTCGTGTTCTACGCATTACTGTAGATAGTTTAAATTTTGTATTTTTTTTTCATCCTTCTTTTTGCACATTTGACTAGTAACATTTTTCTCAATTTTTCCTGTATTTTTGACTTTATAGAATCTTTGCATAGCTATTCGGTAGTAAATATGGGTGTTCAAGCTGCTGCTGTCTTAAGTTCAACCAACTGCCTACCTTCAGCTTAGTTATGTTATTGTATTTGTTTATGGGCGGTCCATTATTCGTTACGTAACGTTTTCTTTTGTTTGGTAGTAGATTGCATCAAAGGAGCATTTTATTTGCTACATTTTGTCTGTGTTTCTCTGGTTTACGCTATGTTTGATATTGAAATGTTCAATCGTGCTTTTTGTTTTGTAATGGTTGCTTGTGTGTTCACTGTGCTGCACATCTAAACAATGTTCTACATTTTCATTCTAACACTTTCTTACAGCTACGGTAATGTAACAAACATCGTTTTTTTTTTCTTCTAGTAGATATAGTTTCGATTTCCTATTGTTGTTTTAAAGAACAGATTAAAGCTAGAAACGAGATCAGTTAAATGAGATCAAATTATAATTTCACTTACTGTTATCGTATCCGATATCCCTAATACAAAACTAAGGATTTTTATGGAATGACCTAAAATAAGCTCAACGAAGCATGAAAACAAGGTCAAACCTAATGTTAATAAATTTTAAGATAATAATAACACACCAATTAAATAACTGAATCAAAATTACTGTCGCGTGATGGGAAACACAATTAACTAAGTCGGACATTTAACTATACCCTATTGTTTTCATGCGAAAGTGCATCAAGTAAACTCCGGTTTGAATTGGTGAACAAATCATGTGCATATATCTTGGAATGCAGTGCCTTTGCATGTGTGTTATCAGTTATGAATGCGTACAGATTTATTGAAATTGTGTGTCCAGAGATAGCTGTCAACTTACAGTGAAACTTAGTTGAGACTATTGTAATATTGGTTGGTTCTGTTTCATATTGCTATGGTTCTTGCTACTTTTTTGTTTGTTTCGGTGCTATCGAAAAAATATATGATCACAGCTAAGCGGATAACTGCTAAACAACTTGTTTGCTCCATCACTTCCTCATTAAATTCCTAGTTACTGATCCTAATCACGTTTGATGATTGAGGGATTATCATTTAATCGGTCATCAAAGTTTGATCAAACAGTCGATATTTTCATGACAGCACCTTTTGGTCAATCAATATTGCTCTACGACTGGGACTGACAGAGCAGATGGTAGTTTGTATTCAATTAGCCCCATCATTCCGTGCATTGAAAAGCAATTTATCATACGAGGGAGGTAGACGTCCGCCATAGGACATATTCCCACACTGCAGAGGCTGACAGGAATGGAAAACGGAAACAAGGATAGGGCATCCACTTACGGGTGATGAGTTCTAAAATTATCACGCAAGGATATTGACCCTAATTGCATGATATCGACTGCTTTTTGCAAACGATTAATTTAACTCATCACAAATAGTGATGTGAACTCAATCAATAAATCTACGAGTCCAGATTTGTGACGATACAACTCTTGCCGTAAAGTTAATGGAGAAATCAGATTTTCTATGAAAATATTTTGATGATGGTGTATAGCATTGGGCATTAGACGGATGCAAATTTTGAAATATTTACTCCACAGTATTCAATCGGTTTTAAATTGAGGGTCCCAGTGCTGATTGAGAGATTTCACGCTATATTGACAAAATTGTGCTTGACACCGTCACTGGAAGAATTGACCTTCACATAAATCATAGTCAGCTCATTCATTTTTCGTCAATGACAAAGATTCACCTGCAAACTAAAAGTGTAATTTCGTGAATTCTGTATCATATTATTGTTCACTCTGGGAAAAAAAGCCTAAAAAAGTTCCTAGAGAATCATTTTTTCCTGCCTTCATCCGTAGGACGAAGAAAATCCAATGGCGTTTCAATGCGTTGAGACGGAATTGAAACTCGAAGAACGAATTTGGAATCAAGAATCAACAATTCAGTGTCAACATTTCAACGGGGCGTAATTGCTTTTGTAAACAATGGCTTTAGCCGTCGATTTCTCGCAAATTAAAGCTCACCCGCCCAAATTAACAATTCCAGCTGGTAGAGGATACATTCCTCTACCTGTTGAAGTCATTGATTTTCATGTGTGAGCTTTTATTCGCGAGAAATTGACGGTTAAAGCCATTGTTTACAAAAGCAATTACGCCCCTTTGAAATGTTGACACTGAATTGTAACAACTTGTAACTTTTCATCAAATTCAACGGTACGTATGGAAAGGCAAATACATTTAGAAGCCTTCTGATTCCATATTATGTTCATATCCGTTCGAAAAAGAGAAGTAAAGGGGGCGGGTTGTGCTTAGGGAGTAAATTTCTCCTCGATTTAGCGTGACATAATTAATGCATGGGCCCTTATTCCGAGAGTCGAAGTGACTTTTGTCACTAGTGAAGTGAGAAAAGTCACGTCGTGGTGACG